CTCTATCTCTTATAGTTTCCGAGATAATCGCGAAAAACGAAATCGCAAACAAAAAATAATTTAATTTATCTTGTATAGGGTGTAGGAAGTGGAAACACGCAATTCTGAGCCGTCCATCTGCCTCTCCGGAACCCAAATTTCCTCAGGAATCGNTTAATTTATCTGCCATAGGGTGTAGGAAGTGGAAAAACGCAATTGTGAACCGTCCATCTGCCTACGGGGAACCCAAATTTCCTCAGGAATCGAATGGAATAGGTTTTAAGGCTCTATGGGCTACACTCAACGCGAAATAGTTCATTTTGACCCTAGGCTGTGAGGAACTTTTCTGATGAATGTGAGGCAGAATAGTATATTTTATGGTAAGTGCCATGGGGATTTTTACCCGTGTGGGGTTGGCGTTCGAGCCGAAGGCGAGGACTGGCCAACCACGCGAGCAAAATACCCCACTGCATTAGTCGTGCACGATAGTTTTCCGTAGTGATTCTCACTTTTAAGAGTTTGGCAAGGAAAAGTGAAGGTCAGTACGGAAAAAGTTCTTCAAGGCCGTGTATCGAACAATAGTTTATGTCATAACCGAGCAAAGCGAAGTTAGAATCGCGCTTTATCGGGCCCAATGACATAAAATATCGTATTTCACGCGGCGATAAAAGTATTATCTGGCGAATGTGATTATAATCCTCGTCTTCGGCTCGGATTATAAAGCCACATTCGCAAGATAATACTTTTATCGCCTGACGACATAATATACTTTTTAACACTGCTGCTACGTTCACCTCGTGTCAAAAAGTGCCCTTTCGTTTACGCTGTTGAAAATATTCGTCTGAATTTTCCGGTACACTTTTTACAAATTTTTATCGAATTTAGTTACCACTGATATTTCAAGGAATTTCGTCATTGAAATTTCAGGTCCATGAAAAAATGAAAAACCATGAAATTTCAGATTTCACCGTAAACTGAATGTAATTTGGGACTGAATAATCATATTAGATTGGAAATTCTAATAAATTAAGGAATTCTCGTCTTTATGCTCTCTAAGTTGCCGCAATTTTCCTGAAATTTCAGCGAAACCTGAAATTTCATGTTTTTTTTCCTAAATCGGATTCAGTGTCACTGTCCTGAAAAATAGTAGTCAACTGTCAATGAAATTTCTTTTTTTTTTCTGTGTAGAAAGAAATCTTTGGGTGGAAATTGTGGGAATGTCATATCTGAGGTATGAATGTGGGGCTTGGAACAAAGAGGCTCTTATGCGGAGGTCCACCCGCACTATGAAATAAACCAATTGGAGAGTATTGATAACTTGGCGACGCAGCCCCGGGCTTTAGTCTAAACGAATGAGTAACACTGGGTTCGAGAACTCCATGAGAAAGTGGAGAGCGGGTTAGTTCGCCGAGCCACGCGGGCGAGAGTACTTCACGATACTCCGATATATTATTCACCAAGTGCATTATTCAATATTTACATTTTTTTCCTCAACTATATGTTCACCGAGTTCTACGACATACCGAAGGCGAGCAGGAGGGTAAAAAAATTACTACCGCGCAGGAAAATCTTTGTTTCATTAATTCTCCTCGTTCATTGAATTCTGATGACAACAAATTTCTTACCACCACTAGAGCACGATTAAATGAATTGAGTGGTCTGAGGATGAACAATTTTGAAAAATCTTTGGACATCTGAGGGGAAGACACACTGGGAAAAATTGACTTTTGCCCAGTAATCATTTTCTTTGGAGAAAAATTTATTTTTTTATGAGCGTATTCTGCCACGCTCGTCATTCTTAGGTGGCTCATGTCCATCTGCAAATATTACAATTATATTGAATTATGAGATGATTATGCTACATATGACCTTGAATAGACAACATTCATTATTTTAATTTTTTTTTCAAATTTGAAATTTTCTTACGTAAAATAATTTGGAACAATTCCAAATTGTTAATAATTGTCAATGGAGTTCAATAAAGGTTATATGTAAAATAATCATCCCATAATTCGAAATAATTATAATAATTGGAGATGATTTTGGACGACCAAAGAATGACTGGCCTGAAGAAACGTGCCCCTAAAAAAATTAATTCAAAAGTAATTTTTTTTCAGTGCAGACCTGAGTGTCGTTAACTTGCAAATCCCTCGGGGTTCAGGAGTATCCGAACAACACACCAGCACCCACTGTCTACCACCTCGTATTTTCAAACATTTTTGTATGATTCTTCATTCTTTTCAGATCACTTTCGACTCGTTTCATCATTCTTTCGTGGTGGTAAGGATTTTGTTCCAATAATTTTTGGGTCTGAGAATTCATCAAACGGAGAGAATTTGCGGGGCAAAAATTTCCCCTCTCTCAGTAGTTATTTTTTTACAATACTGTCCTCTTAATTCACCTGATCTTAAAAATATTTATTACATTTTTCGTTATATCTAGTTTCAATCAAAGCATCTCACGTAATCGCAACATTGCAAACTTTATCATTCGTACCCACAGTGAGGTAGTATCAAAAAAACCAAACATGAGTGATCAAGATGAATGGGACTTTGTGATTTAAAAGAATAAGCTTTACCTCTGCGAAGTCGAAACGGATCAAGTGACGCTGTCTTGACATTTTTTCGGTCAAGAAAATCATCGTGTGCATCTTTCATTGAATGTGCTCCGCCGCAGTTTTTGTATAGAACAGTAAACAGTGATCCCCAATCCATCGTTCAGTGGTGCAAAACTACCAGAATGTTGCGGAAAACAGTGGTTGTGCTACTCCTGTTGCTGCTAGTAATGAACATCGATGGAGGGAAATCAAAGATAAAAAAAAGAGAATCTCTCTTCAGCAAAGTGCGTTTGATAACGCATGCTACCATGGACTTATATCGCATACTGAAAACGATTATGAGTCACTCAGGAAGTGCAAGTATACTTCTGAGCGAACTGTTCGACTGGTTCACGGGCGACGATACACATGGACATGATCTCAATGAAGTCAATACAAAGTTGACGGATATTTCGTCTCAGTTGAACTGGATCATGATGCGTATGGAGGCGAATTTCGCGATCTTAGAACGAACAATCAGCCAACTGCCACTGGCAATTGAAGTTGACAACATAAAGCGGGAACTAGCGATGACCATTAGAAAAATAAAAAATTTGTACGATGTAGCGCTCGGTTTTTCAAGCGATATCAGTCGACATAATGGAGTGGAGCTGCAGAATGTAGCAAATACACTGACAGGAAGACAGGCCGGAGATCTGCGAGATAGTCTATCCAAGTTGTATGATTACATTGTACCGGTGACTGCGCAAAATCTCAAACAGAGCTTCTTGGATCTTCTGAATCATGATGTCCAGGTAAGCAGGACGTATTGAAAAATTTGAGTAAAACATAGTTTGCCGGGTCAATTCATTTGTTCGACATCTAGTATTCAAAACCATCTTTAAAATGGTTTGGTAATAATTGGTATAACGTTAAAATTCGAATATCATCAAAGATACTATGTACTACTTTGCTGCAAAACGTATAAGTCGTGGGGTCACCAGTACACTATTGCTGTGGTCCTTTCTTATTATATCCATCAGTTTTTTAAAATAAATTTCAATGGATATAAGGTATTCCTTGTTCAACTCCGTCGCACTTTCTTACGACTACACAATAAAATTAATTTCATATGGATATACCTTCATTTTAAATAATTAAAATTCTTTTCTAGCAATGAGGTAACCAAGTTCTTAAAGGAACCAATAGTTACTGGTGAAGAATTCACTCCTCACCAACTCTTGGCGTGACCCAGGGCTCACGACGAGGACGTAGTTCGTAAAGAGTCCCAAAAAGAAAACATAAATTTTTTTATTAATTACTTATATTCAAATTTAATCGATGGCCTGTGGTATCGGTGAACCATTGATTACCAAACGATTTGCAATCATCCTCTGTTTTCAGAGTTTATTAACGTTTATATGTCCCCGCTAACCAGTCTAAACCAAAAATTTGGTAGGGAATTCTATTGAGTTATTTCCTGATTTGTATCAGAACCTACACAATTTACCGCGCGTTTTCCAATGAGAGTAGGGCAGTGTGGGGTCAAACGGAAGATGGGAATTTCCTTATTTATTCCCAAATTTAATTTTTCCTGTTAAGTTCTAAAAATTTTACGGATTGAAACGTAACTTTTACATAACTACGAAGCATCATTTATGTAGAACAATGAGTTTTACAACGTTCCGAGTTCAAAACCCGGCCGGATAGAATGCTGCGATCTAGTCATTTAAAGTCTTGATCATCATCGCAGTATACCCTAACCGGGTCAAAGCGATGTAAAATGACGATTAAAAAAAAATTTGTACACAGAAAAAAAGTTTTGATTGAATCAGGGAAATATCACTGATTTGTAGAAATCTGTCATCAATTATTGATGGTACTGGATACTGACTAGAATGACCCTGATCAGTACTCATTTTGATCACTGAAATTTGAGGATAGATCCCTGAAAATCAGGAACATTGCTCTAAAAATCATCGATGATGTCCTTAAAAATTAGTGACAATGTCACTGAAAGTTGGTGAAAAAATCACAGAATTTCAGAATTTTGCAATCACTGAATTTCAAAATCGCGGATCCCTAATAACTGGGGATAAATTCTTGAAATTTAGTGAAATGTCCTTGAGGAGAAACTACAATGAGCTTTAAAAGTCGCAGGCTATTGGAATGAGATTTCTCATACATTGAAGATAGATTATGTGTCTAAAAATAAATAATTAGTGCAAAAAAAATTGTTTATAAAAACTTATGCTTAAATGCTTAAAATGTTAAAAATAGTCCAAGGCCTCGAATTTTTGAGCTAAAGGAGTTTTTTTCAAAATTTTTGAAAAAATGTATGCAATAACAATTACGAATTTGTTTTTTGAAATTCAACTCTTACACACCCGTGTAGAAATCTCTCCCTTCAATGCCCACTTGCTATAGGCTATCCAGTAGAAATTTATCCTTCCGAGGGTACCCAGACTCTACGTGATTCCCACTCACATGCTTGGATCCCACTTGGAGCCCAAAAAATATTTATGAACGAAACGAAAATCTATTTTCAATATTTTTTACAATAATTTTTCTGCACGGAGAGAAATATTCAATAGTAATACCACTAGTGCTTCAAAACTATCGGATATTTTCCGATAGCTTCGTTGCCTAGGAACGATTGTGTCAAATTTTGCAGGTTTAAAATCCCGAGTGCGAAGTGGATTTTCTGCCATATTTGACACACTCGTTTCTAGGCAGGGAAGCTTGAGGAAAATATACGATTAATTTTGAAGCACGAGTGGTATTTGACGGATTATTTTTCTACTCGAATTTCGGCCAAGCAGAGTGCAGTGAACAGCATCCGGATACATTTACACAGCCATACATTTACAACCTACTTTTTTGTTTACCTGTCACACAGAATATTAAACGTGGAATGCGTTGAAAGATGAGAAACATTTGAAAAGCTACTAGTGAATTTCCGTCGGAAATTTTTTACAAATTTCGGAAATAAAACTGTTTGACAGTCTTAATTACTGCGCTCTGATTGGCTGAAATCCGAGTGAGAAAAATAATCAATAAAAATTACGTATCTTTTCCGTAATTCCGGAGCGAAATGTGGTTGTAGGAAATTTTCCGGAACTGTCACGTAAATTTACCTAAAATCACGGAATTTTTCTGAAAAAAATTCTAAGGATTTCCGTGAAAATTTAATAGAGGTCGAATTTCAAAAAACTAACTCGTAATTGTTATTGTACACATTTTTTCAAAAATTTAAAAAAAAACCTCTGTAGCTCAAAAACTGGAGGTCCTGGACTATTTTTAACATTTTAAGCGTTTACGGGGAAAACAATAAAAATTTAATATTGTTGCACTAATTACTTGTTTTTAAACGCATATAATCGATCTTCAATGCGTGAGAAATCGCGCTCCAATACTCCCACGACTTTTAAAACTCACAGTAGTCTCCCTTTAAAAAACAAAACTATTTTTTTGTGGAAATGAAAAGTGAGTATCCGGAAACAAGTACAGATCCAAAAACTAGTACACTTACAGAATAGAATTATAGAATTTTGAAGTAAAAGCAATGAAACACATGGAGATAAATTTATTTGAAAAATTCTAGTGGTGGTACTGAAAAGAATCCCATTCCACCGGCAATGAAGAATTCGAGTCCTGTTAAGGTAAAATTTCTACATTGGTAGAAAAAATTAGTTATTGTTACCAAAATTTGGTTAGAGGCTAGGGTCCATTCGGTCTTACCAAATGTTCATTCGTTAATAGTTAACAAATGCATATGTCAAGAGCCTTCTTTAACTCGACTTTTCTCTTTCAATATGACTCTACCATTTGTTAATAGTCAACAAATCTCATTTGGAATAAATGACTCATTCTATCAGTGTAGAGATTTCTGAAAAAAATTCCAGGGATTTCCGTGAAAATTTAATATAAGAACGAGGAAAATTTACGTGGAACTTGATAAAATTTTCAGGGCTGGCATTGGAATTTTTCCCGTGAAGCTGTTACTTTGCGCCCGTTTTCTCGTGCTTGCACTAGAATTTTTCTAGAGAATTTCTCTCCGTGTATAGCATCAATCTTTCCATTTATGATTGATCCTTACAACGATGAATATTGGATAATGCCACTATTGGGATTTTATGTTAAGGCGAAAGACGAAAATCTGTGCGGGGATCAATCACCTAATCAGTATTTATACCAGCTGCACAAAATTGTTGTTGCAACCGAGATGATGGGCCAGGTCGCTTTAACTTTTGGGTACTATTTGCAACATCAATTGAATAATGGTAAGCATATAGTTAATTTCAAAGTGAACAATATATTTTTTATCAGAACGCGTACACTGTTCAAAATGTTGTTTTTTTGGAAATTCTCATCGAATTTAATTACCACTGAAAATTCAACGTAATTCGGCACTGAATATTCATATTAGATTGGAAATTCAAATAAATTGAGAAAATCTCGTCTTTATGCTGCTTTAAATTTTGGAATTTTATAGAATTTTTAGTAAAACCTGAAATTTTATGGCTTTTTTGCCTTAATCACATTCGGTGTTACTGTTTTAAAAATTAGTTGTTAACTGTCCATGAAATTTCATTTTTTTTCTAACAGTGTGGCGTCAAACATATTGTTCGTCACACGGCCGAAATAGTATATTTCAGGGCGAGTGCCATGGGGTTTTTTACTCGCGCGGTTGGCCAGTCCTCGCCTTCGGCTCGGGCGCCAACTCCACACGAGTAAAAAACCCCATGGCACTAGGCGTGAACGATATTTTTCCGTAGTGATTTTCAGTTTTAAGAGTTTGAGGAAGGGTCAACACCAATCCCCAGACGAGGAAAAGTGAAGATCAGTACGGAAAAAACTTTTCTGATGAATGTGAAGGTTGCAGACCGAGGCGAAGCCGAGGAATGCAATCACACAAGTCAGAAAAATTGTTTTCGGCCGAGTGATGAACATAATTTTTCTTCACAATGTCGGTAAACGGAGTCTGACGGATACGAAGTATCCTTAAAACGTTTTTTTCGGCCAAATCAGGAAATGTATTATTTTGATATCTGTATTCATTCTTTTTCCTCTAGTCACTATTGATACTGAACTGCAACAAGCTCAGGAAGAACGTCAAGAAAGATTGAAGAATTACTTCAGAAAGTTCAAGAGTTCCATGAATGACGCATCACTAAGCTCACGTCCATGTGACCGTGAAAATCTCATCAGAGGTACTGAATTGGGAGTTGATCATTCGCCATTAGTGCACTGATAGAACGAATTAGTTATTGTTAACGAATAGATTTTGGTTGGAGGTTAGGGTCTATTCGGTCCCACCAAATGTTCATTCGTTAATAGTTAACGAATGTACATTTCAGGAGCCTTGTTTGACTTGACTTTCACCATTCAAGTGAACCATTCGTTAACTATTAACGAATATTCATTTGGTCATATTCAACTCTACCATTCGTTAATAGTTAACGAATCTCGTTTGGAATAAATGAATCATTCTATCAGTGTGGATCTAAATTTTTAGATAATTTTTACTATTTTTTTTTTTAGATAAAACTTTTTTTGAAATGGAAAAGCTTTATCAAGCGGTCCTCGTGGAGGACTACAATCTGAACAACAACGACTCATGTAAAGGCACATGTGATACCATCGATGTGCCCATGCATAGGAATGACAATGATGGAGTACTTTGCACTCGTCTGGACAGGTGTTGGATTCTAGAAACAGCGCAATATTGTATACAAGTAAGCACATGCACGGAAAAAATATGCGAAAAATTTGTGGGAAGCCTGTAAAATGGATTCATTTCGACGGACTCGAAAAAACTCCAGTGCCAGCACAGAAAATTTTGTTGTGAAAAGCAGGAATTTCTCGCGTCAAAATTTGTGGCATCAGAATTTTTTCTGATCCGATGAAATGAAGCCATTTTACTATGTTAGGACAGTCATTTTTCGTGTATTTTTTTCTTCGTGTTTGGAATCATCAATTCTGATACGAGGATGCATTTGTAAACTGAATTGGATTGAATTGGGTTGAGATATTGAGTGCACGAATGAACAATTTAATAAAAAAAACCTAGCGAATTTGTTAGACAATTCTGTTGGATTTTTATTGACCTTTCTATTAGTTCTTGGCAAATTCTATTGAAATGTTCAATAGAAAATATTCTATAGAAAAAGTCAACCGAATTCGATTTTTCTATGCAACTTAATCTATTGAGATATTATCTATGGAATTTCCTTGGCTCAAATTTTTCAAGTTTTTTGTTTGATTTTCTTAAAGAGAAAAAAAGAAAAATAAAAATCTGAGAAAATTCGAGCCGAGGAAATTCTATAGAATGTATCGGAAGAGAATAAATTATATAGAAAAATCGAATTCTATTGACTTTTTCTATTGAAAATTTCAATAGAATCGGCCAAAAACTAATAGAAATTTCAATAGAAAGCCAATAGAATTTATCATTAAATCGCTAGATTTTTCTATTTAACTGTTTCGTGTGTAATGTTCTGGATAGGAAAATTCTTTGCACTCAGGAGAATATTCCTTGACATTATGTCTCAAAATCATTTATTATAGAGACCCTAAATTCTCATTCAATTAATCAACTACTTTTTCAGAAGAGCCCTCAATACAATCGACACTCTTTGAGAACTAGAAATTGAGACTTTTGAAAACCTTATTTTAAGATCTTTGAAATTTAAATATAAGGTATTATTTTTTTGAGTGTACTCTCCATACTTTTGGAATCAATCAATTTTGAACAGAGTCATTAAATGACACAGACATTCACATTCACATTTACATTTTTCCGTACGTGAAGGATTAACTATCACACTAAAAGTCGAAGAACTTCTTACTCGGGATTTCACCCCCTTTCAATCATTACATTTTGACACCCTCTGTACCTTTTTCCGAGTGAATTAGTGTGATAGAAATAATAAAACAGTATAATTTTCAGCCACACGAGCTCAGACGGTACGAGTGGATCGAAGATCAACGCGGTGGCATTTACGGCGTTAAAAATGGCTGCCAAGGTCAACAACTTGCGACACCTGGTTGGTGGAAAGGGTGAGGTTATTACTTTTTCGCAGGGATCGGCAAAAATTGTTACTAAGTAATTTTAAACGAAGTTTACCGTAGATTATTTAACCGTAGATCAAAGTTCGCTACTTTTTTATTTCAATTTGAAAATAATGTTTAATTCCCAATCGTAATTAAACAATCAATTCTAAATATCTGAATTTGATTTTTCAATTAATCTAATAATCATCATTCTTGTGAAATTGTTTACTGATTTATGAAATATTTGAAAAATTGACAATGTTTTTTGACAATTAAGATAATAAAAATTGAAAAATTGTCCAATACAGTTATCCGACTTTGTATGCAATAAAGTAAATTAAATTCTGTATTACGATTTTGCCTATCTCTGCTTTTTCGTATTGCCCCATTTTATCGACCAACTTGAAGAGGTTTTTCCTTCCAGATTATATGAATGTGAAAACTGCATCTGCACGTGTGTAGGCGGTCACAAGGAGAGGATGGCGACCGAAATTCAGGCCTTCAGTTTACGAGTATCACGGAGCAACATTACAGAGAATATGTATGATGATTTTAGCAAAGCCACCCGAGCGGAAATTCAAATTAGGATCGAATAAGAGATTGACCAGTGAAAACTGATTTTGATCAATTTTGGATCAGAAATGTAACGCTTGTTTGGGTCCATGCCTGGTCAAAATTCTAGGATTCGATCTTCCTGAACAGTACCGGATCCGATACGGATCTAGTCGAGATTTGACTGATTAGAATAGGATCACAATTCACTCCGCCACAATGAATACAGATACTCCATTCAGAATCTCATCAGATCCTGATCCGAAAGTCTAATCAATAAATTCTGACCAGTATTGAACCTAACACTAATGTAGATCCAAGCTAACTGAGTGAAATTTCCACTCGGGCAGTGCTAAATGCAATCATTCACTAAATTTTCGTATGCATGAATGTCAATTCTAGGGTCGTGACGGGAATCAAATTTTCAAGACACGAATCGATTATTTGTATCCAAATAAAGGAAGGAAAATTACTCCCTGGCGGTGAAATCGAGAAGAATTCCCAAAGATGGACAGACTGCGATCTATCCTACTCATCTTACCGGCTGGCAAGATTTGGCACGTCTGATTACGTTCACGGAACGGATTTCGTTCTTCTGAATCGATCTTACAACTATATTGATCTTGATGACATAATTGAACACCAGGATTCCATTGTTACCGGTATGTAAATCAACTATGTTTGAATTATAATTTTTCAGTTTTCATTTTCATCGTTCATTCTGTGGGACATCACAACATACGCAACCCCCGCCCCCTCCCTCATGAATGGTCGCAAATCACAGAAGCCGCTCCTCCCCTGATCACATGAGGCAATATTACAAGGCTTTTCTTACTAAAACTGAGTAGGTTTTTTACGATCTTTTGAGTCCCTCTTTTCGGGTCTCATTTCGGCATTCTATCCAACCCAACACTGAGAAAAAATAATTCTAGTATCTGAAACGTATTTTCTTGAGACAAGTAATTTTTCTTCAATTATTCAATTCTCCCAAACATCTCTCACTCAAGTCGCATAGAAAAATTGTCAATCTTCAAGTATTTATGGTTTTCATAATTTTTTTGTTGTGCAGTTCCAATATTTCGATACGTAATATATTTATGATACAATGCGCAATGTTAGTGATAAATGAGAATCCATTTGAGTTTCGTGAACCGCAAACATCCTGAGATTTGAACCATTGAAAATAATTTACATCTCTCAAATAAATATGGTCTACGTATTAGGAAATTTTTCTCTCAGTTTATATATACGGCTGTGGATTCTACACTGTACCGCATTCGCACTCGTACACGGAGAGAAATGTTCAGTAAAAATTACGGAACTCACGATTCGCTCACCAATTACGAAATCGACTCAGAAAATTTAAGTGACGGTATCGTAATTTTTCACAGGAGATTCAGATAAAAATTACGGAACGCTCTGAAAAAATTCCGGGACAGCTCCGTAAAATTTCCTACAACCACATTTCGCTCCGGAATTACAGAAAAGATACGTCATTTTTATTGAATATTTCTCTCCGTGTATAAAACATAGGAGTAACCCAGGAAACTACAGGAAACCCATGCCGGTACAGGCGCTTACTCTATTAGCAACCTCTCGCTCGTTATGGTGCTTGCCTCTACCATAGTGAGAGGATATAACCAAAACGATCAGAAGAAGAAGAACCTGCCGCTCGTCGGAGCCTTCCGTTAAAAAATTTGGTTCCACCGGGAATCGAACTCACAAACTTTCGCACACTAGACTTGCGTCTATCTCACTTGGCCACCGACGTCGGTAGCAGGGTTTTTGTACTGAATTTCAGGAATTTTTCGGCTGAAATTAAGTAACCAAGTCTCTCGGCGCTTTCGGCCGGTTTGTTCATGTACCTTTGTCGTATGTGAAAATCACTATTTATAGTAATTGATCATTCAAATAGTAAATAAACGGTATTTAATATTGAAACATGACGAGGTCGATGAAAAACGAACTACTCAAAACAATCATTTTTATCATGTATGGCAAAACACGGGAAACGACGTCTTCGCTTGATGTACGGGGTAGAATGAATTGAATCGAAATTCTAAGGGGAAAAATAATCTCCGAGTTTCATCACATTTCACCTTGGTTACATTATTTGTTACAGGTGTAAAGTTTGGTCTTACTAGTTCTTGCGCGGGAGAGAAACACGTTAAATTACAACTAGAGTACACGAAATTCAATTTCTCATCTGGTGAATTGACTTCCAGAGATGGATCGCGCTCATCCTCTACCTGCCACAAGTAAGTGATCGAATTAATAAAATTTTAAATCGTGAAGGTGGCGCCAAATGAATTTCTTCGAATCTTCAATATATTCTGAACGAATGATATGAACACAGAGATAAAAATCAGAAATTTCATTTCTATAATCCGAGAAATATTTCCGTGTCGTCCAGTAATTGCGGCGCTAATGGATCTGGCACTTTTGGCACCCTGTCCCGAGGACAGTGATTTTTATGGAAATGTTCACAATGCAAAAAGATTGCAATCAAACGCGTTCAATCCCTACCATACTGATGATTTTAGTACTCATTTATTCTACTAAAAACAAAAGAAACAAAAATCGAGTTTTAATTTTTTTCATTGACCGCATGTGGCTGTGCAGGAACAAAATCGTTAAACTAGTCCCCCTACCAGAATTTTCCATGGTTTGACTTGAGTTTTGGTTTCCATACACAACGCACGAAAAAATGTAATAGAAAAACCTATCGAATTCGTTAGAAAATTCTATTGAATTTCTATCAAACTTTCTATTAGTTTTTGGCTGTTTCTATTGACATGTTCAGTAGAAAACATTTAATAGAAAAAGTTAATAGAATTTGATTTTTCTATATAACTTATTCTTTTCATATATTTTCTATAGAATTTGTTAGACTCAATTTTTTTTCATTCTATTTTTATTTTCTTCTCATCAAGAAAATCAAACGAAAAAAGTTAGAAAATTTGAGCCGAGGAAATTCTATAGAAAATATCTCAATAGAATAAGTTGAATAGAAAAATTGAATTCTATTGACTTTTTCTACTGAATATTTTATATTGAACATTTCAATAGAATCGGCCAAAAACTAATAGAACAGTTCAATAGAAATTCAATAGAATTTTCTAATCAATTCGATAGGTTTTTCTATTATTTTTTTTCGTCCGTGACGTAATATAGTTAAGAAAAAAAATATATGAGCTTTTTTTGAAAGATTATTAGAAAATTTATTAGCAAAAACAACTATAATACAATTGAATCCAAGACCAGTTTCCCACTCGTTTGAGAATAGAAAATGAGTACCAAGATCATCTGTATAATGTAGACTACCCTCTGCAACTACCAAATTCTACTGCGAACTCCCCTCGGTAAAATTGAAGTCTTCACTGGGATTTAGGACCCATTGAACAGTTTGTGATATATGACGGAATATGGGAATAACTAGGGAAAATGGCAGACCCGATCGATTTTGCCTCGTATAACCAGCAAAAAACTTCATTTTGTCCTGTTTTTACCTTTAAAAAAAATCATACGATTTCAGCGAACGATGAAAATTGACGATTGTAACGAAAAACGATTAAAAAAAAAAAAATCGGATGATTTTTTTCACATGTAAACATTTAATCGTATTTTTTTTAATGTTCGTTACACTCCAAAGAATAATGTTACGCATCCGTTTTACTTTATTCGCAATAAATGAAGATTAAATGAATTTTGAATTTCATAAATTTTACTCTACTCTAAAGACGCAAAAAATTTATGAAATTCAAAATTCAGTTATTCATGATCTACTGCGAATAAAGTAAAACGGAAGCTGAACTTTATTCTTTGGAGTGTAACGAACATTTAAAAAAAATTCTAAAATCGTATACAAACTGCGGCGCAAGGAGCATTTTGAAGGTAAAAACAAGAAAAAATGAAGTTTGTCATGGTTATACGGGGCATATACTATAGTTATTCCCACATTCCGTAATATATCACAAACTATTCAATAGGTCCCATGGCCCAGTGAAGACTTGAATTTCACCGACGTATCCCCTTGAGCCCCATAAACTGTAAATTTCTATTCAATGTTTGCAGCCAAAAGATAAATATCGCCGATACCGACAGTCCATTGAATCAGAATAAACCGAGAGATCAGAATACTGTAGATTCCGGATCGAATACTTATGTCAGCTTCGGGTGGTCCAGCTTCAAGAGAGACGTGGGACAGACGACTTTGCCACTGTTGGATGCCCAACCGGTTGAGACTAACCCACCAGCCCCATTATCCGGCGCTGGATTATTTCACAAATCTTCGCCTGGTTATGGAGGATTTCTGGCATTGAAAATCAACACTCTCAATTATGGAAGATACATGGAAGACGAAATAACTGAAGGCTACATCGTGGGTTCAGTCGGAAAAGTGTTGCCACCAGTTAACGGAAAAGCGGTTGTCAATCCAATTCACGCGTTTGATCAACAAACCAAAGAAACTGATGATAATTCTTCCTCATACTCTCCTTACATTACATTCCTGGTCATGCCACTTTTTGTCTTTGCAGGTCTCTATATTTTTACCATTTACAAAAAATGGCAGAATAATGCTCGTCCGATAATTGTATTACCGACGATTTCCTCTGACGAAAGAGTTAGATTATCTAGAGCGATGGTCATTGACAAAAGCGTGCCATGACGATTTTATTTCTTATTTTACAATGCTAATATTACTTCAATATTCACATTTTCTACATGTTCGGTTTCCTTGAATTCTGTTACAGAATAATTTACTTTAAAAGAAAAAATTGAAGAGGGAAACCTAGCGAGTTTGGTAGGTAAGGCTATTCGAATCATATTGCATTTATAGTTAACAAGATTCGTTGGAATGTTTCAAAGCTTGATAGAAACAAATTAAAGAAACTGATGTTAATTCTCCCTCATGTTCTCCTTATTTTACGTTCTTGACCATGTCACTTTTTATTTTCACTGGTCTCTACACTTATGCGAATTACAAAAAATGGAAAAGTAATGCAACATCCGATAGTCGTATTCCCGACGGCTTCCTATGACGGCAGAGTCAGATTATCTTCAGCGATTGTCTTTGGCAAAAACGTGCCATGACTATTTTATTTCTTATTGTACAAGGCTAATATTACTTTAATATTCACATTTTCTACATGTTCGGTTTCCTTGAACTCTATTACAAAATAATTACTTTAAAAGAAAAAACTAGGGAGGGAAACTGAGCGAGTTTTGTAGGTAAGGCTACTCGAATCATATTGCATTGTTAGGAGGATTCATTTATAGTTAACAAATCAATTTGTTTGAGTGTGTGAAGGCTCAATAGAAACAAATCAAAGAAACTGATGTTAATTCTCCCTCATGTTCTCCTTATTTTACGTTTTTGACCATGTCACTTTTGGTCTTTGCTGGTCTCTACACTTATACGACTTACAAAAAATGAAAGAATAATGCACGTCCGATAATCGTATTCACGACAGCTTTCTCTGACGAAAGAGTTGGATTATCTTCGGCGATGGTCATTGGCAAAAGCGTGCCATGACCATTTTATTTTTCATTTTACAATGCTAATATTACTTTAATATTCACATTTTCTACATGTTCGGTTTCCTTGAATTCTACAAAATAATTTAAACTTACAGAATAATTTACTTTAAATGGAAAAACTAAAGAGAGAAACCTAGCGAGTTTTGCAGGTAAGGCTACTCGAATCATATTGCACTGTTAGAAGGATTCATTTATAGTTAACATGCCGACTCGTTTGATTGTTTCAATGTCCAATAGTTAGTTAATATACAGTTTGAAAGGAGCGTAGGCCACGAAAAAAACACAATTTTTCAAAATTAACTCAACTTTGTCGCAACAACTCATGATTTGTTAACTGTTCGGGAATATTCATTTGTTCACATTCAAATCTGCCAAAAATCTTGTTAACAATACACTAGCAAAACGGTATAACGATTTAAGTCGATTTAACCCTCAGCTGAGTTTTCAAGGAATATCTCCTGATCTAATGGAGATAATGAAGTTTTGCAATCAACTTTTTTTAGTGCGAATACAGGGATACTTAGAAGATCATGACAAAAATTGTACCATTTCCCTTAAATTTCGAGATATTCATTGAAAAATGACCAATAATCAAAATAGACTTGAACGGTTTTACCACTTTGCTACTGAATAAATGAATTAATCCCACTGTGGAAACTCCATTCGTACCCTCCAACTTCTATCGCATTTTACTGATGTTCGATTCGAAATTTCTTTGGGAATTTTCTTCTTATTATTTTTTACTCAAATTATACCCACTAAATGATGCCCAGCCGAGTCAAATCCCGAGCACTTCGATTTTTTTCATTTCATATACGTCTTTTTAATCTTTAAAAACAATTATTTCTGATTAGAATAAGCGGTATGAAAAAAAAACAAAATCTGTTTATTTTCTTTTAATGAAATGTTTTCTGTTGGATTTTCTAGGGGTGGCAGGGGTATAATGGACACACTTGAAATTTTTTCAATGTTCATAATTCAAAGACGAATTTATCAATCGATTTCAGTCCAGGCTCCTCACGAAGAGGGAAAACTGTACTTCCCACGAAAAAAAATATCTGAATTCTTCAACAATTCATTGAATCATAAACATTTGAAAAAAAAGTCCAGTGTCCCGTTTTGCCCCGCTTTCCTCCCCCAATGAAAAATGAGGAATTCATTTGGAGTTCATTCAGCAATATCTACGCAGTACAGATATTATGAAGGACATTATTGTGAAGGAGGGCATTATCTCAGGGAAAATGACAATTATTAAGTATTTACAAGATGAAATAAAAAATATATGGCATGAGCTTTGTGTATTGACTTAATTTTTATGGAATAGATAAAGAACTTGATTGCTATCTGATGAGAATTTCTATGAAAATATATCCGTATGTGGCAGTCATTGTATTATGGTATCAGGGAAAAATCGAGGAAAATAAGGACCGGTGAGTTGGTGAGATTTTGATGCGATAAGCACTATACAGTGTAGAAACAAAATTCATTGCAACTCAGCGCCACATTTCGTTTGCCAAGGAATTACTTGCTGAGGCTTCAGTGATGTAAGGTATTATACTGAGATCATATAAAATTCAGTTGCATATTTAACAATACATAATTGGTTTCTACATTAAGAATTGAATAGTGTGAATATTTTTTTTGTCGTAAAATACAACTAGAGCAAAACTGGACTCATTTCACACATGAAACAAATTAATACACGGAGAGAAATTTTTTAGAAAAATTCTAGTGCTAACACGGGAAAAGAGGCGCAAAGTGACGGCCAGGGAAAAATTCCAGTGCCGGCACTAGAAATTTTAGTGGGGAAAACGTGAATTTTTGCCCGTATGTCTGCGAAAATTTCACAGAAATCCCCAGAAATTTTACCATAAATACCATGAAATTTTACCTTAACAGTACTAGAATTTTTCACAGCCGGTGGATTGTGATTTTTTCCAGTACTAGAATTTTTCTAGAAAATTTCTCTCCGTGTAGAAAAACCTAACGAATTCGTTAGTAAATTCTATTGGATTTCTATTGAACTTCCTATTAGTTTTTAGCCAATTCTATTGAACTATTCAGTAGAAAATATTTCATGGAAAAAGTCAATAAAATTCGATTTTTCTATATAACTTATTCTTTTCAGATATTTTCTGGAGAAGTTCCTTGGCTCAAATTTTCCAAGTTTTTTTCATTCTATTTTTATTTTCTTCTCATCAAGCAAACCAAAAAAAACTTGCAAAATTTGAGCCGAGGAAATTCTACAGAAAATATATCAATGGAATAAGTTGTATAGAAAAATCGAATTATTTTGACTTTTTTTATAGAATATTTTTATATTGAACATTTCAATAGAATCAGGCAAAAACTAATAGAAATTTCCATAGAAATCCAATCCGGAACGTAAACATCCCCCACTCGCACACCTTGATTCCTTGCATTTTTCGCTAAACTCCGCCCATAATCGTGTCACAATCGTGTCACAATCGTGTGACAAGAACAGAAAAATAGGATTAAAAAAACCTGAAAAATTCTATAGAAAATATCTCAATAGAATAAGTTTAGTAGAAATCGAAAAGAATTCTTTTGTCATCATGCATTGTACACAAGTGATACAAAAACAGGCACTCATCAACGTATAGTTGACTTTCAGTCAGCTGAGTTCAGAAGCCATAAGTCATGTGATAGATCGCAAAATCCGAAATCAAATGAAAGCCACGGGGTGTATTTATCATGATCTATTTTCAACACTAACAACTATGCCCCGACGTTTTTTTGTTCGGTATTTGCACAGAGTTCGGTATTTGCAAACTTCGGTATTTGCACAGAGAAAAAAAAAGTATAATAAATTCAAGTTAGGTGTTGCTCCGGCGGACATCCGAGTGCAGCTGCGTTTAGCGCGGTTAGTACTTGGATGGGTGACCGCTTAGGAACACCCTCGCCTAAAAATTTCGGAAGGTAGGCACGGTGCAGTGGCCTAATGTGCTCCTCTAGTCAGTATGACAGAAGGGCACATTAGGGCTCTGCACAATCAGCCGGCTGTACAACAGGGGTTTTCCATGGTTTCCCTTGCAGTCCTAGCCCGAATGGGGTACAGTTAAGAGTAAAACGGCCCATGGTAACGCAGAAAAAATCAGAAGAGAGAGGTGGGAGAGGCAAGCCAGACGAATGGGGAGCCTATAATACCGTAATGGTAGCAGGAAAGAAATATGAATAAAAAAATAAATAAATAAATTTAAAAAAAATAAAAAATAAATTCAATTTTTTTTCTTTTAGATTCTAGAATCTACAGTTCAGAACTTGCATCCGGCTAAAATTCACCAAAACAACCAAAAAATGATGGTTTCAAGGCAAAAAATATTCTGGAATTTATCGAATTAGGGGATTAAGTTCTCCTCATTAGCACATTTTCAAAATGAAAGGCATTTTGGAAATTTTGAATTGAACCTTTGAAAAAATGGAAAAAATTGTCCTAAAAGGTTGGGCTCAGACGATTGAGCATCATCCGAAACGTACAGATTCATTATCCCCTAAACAAACTTTTTTTTTTACTTTTCGGCCCAATTTCAAATTTCCAAATTCCCTTTAAAAAATAAAGAAAAGTTGTCCTCAAAAGTGGGGCTCAGATGATTTAGAATCATCTGAGACGTGGAGGTTTCATATCCCATGGGAAAGTGTTTATACGACCTTTTGGCACAACTCACGCGAATTCTTCTTAGGAAGAAAAATATTTCAAAAAATGCAAGTTTAGAAGCAAAGTTTCTAGAATCTAGTAAAAAGAGAGATGGAATTTATCGGAAGAACTTCAGATTCAAGAAAAAAATGGATGAAAATCAGAATAATACGGATCATATCTGGATTTTTTTCTATAAAAATAATTCGATATGATGGTTGAGTTTATCATTCTTCGAATGACAAATTTAACCATGATGAATTGATCAATTTCGTGATTTTTTTTTCTCTCTGTAAGACAGGAAATTCTTATCTTCTCGGAATTCTGCAAACTGCATCATCAGCACCGAATATCATATTAATCTCTGTTCGTGGGCAGAAATGAGAAAAATGCAACAAGTAATCTGCGTATACGGCAGTCCGTGGATAGCATCCGACGCACAACAAACTCGAGATTTCTCAACTATAATACTTTTTGAAAATACCAATTTCCCACAGTAATTTCACTTTATGATAATCAAGTCTACCAAAAAAATCGCTATTCCCACTCTCATTTACATCAATTATTACTTCTAGGTGCAAACCAAATTCTTGGAATTCTTGTTCTTTGTGAGACAGTGCAAAAAAAACGAAAAATTAATTATAGAAGTGGATAAGACTTCGTGATTCCGAACGATAAGCGTAATCAGAGCGAAGCCGAAGCAGATCGAGTGACGCTGATCTTGGCATTTTCTGGACGAAAAAAATCATTGAGTATATTCTTTGTCGACTGTCTGACGAGAGCGTTCGGTGAGATAGAGCTGTATATTATAAAAAAAAGTGCGGAAAGTGATAAATCCATCGGCCAGTCTCGAAGGATCATAAAAATGTTACGAAAACCGGTGGTTTTGCTGCTATTATTGCTGCTAGTAGTGAAAGTCCATGAAGTGAAGCCAGATAAAGCAAAGAGAGAAACTCTTTTCAGCAAACTGCGTTTGATAACGCGCGCTGCTGTGGACTTATACCGTATACTGAAAAAGATCATAACTCGTCCAGAAAATGTGAATATAATGTTGGATGAACTAATCGACTGGTTTGCGGACGAGGATACACATGAGCTCGATGTAATCAATGCAAAGTTGACAGATATTTCGTCGAAGTTGAACTGGATTATGATGCGCATGGAGGCGAAGTTTTCGGCGATAGAACAAATGATTAGCCAACTGCCATTGACAATTGAGATCGACAGTATAAAGCGCGATCTAGCACTGACCATCAGGAAAATAAAAAATTTGTATGATGTTGCTCTCACTTGTTCCAGCGATATCGATCAACACAATAAGGTGGAGCTTCAGAATCTAGCGAATACACTGACAGGAAGACAGGCGGGGGATCTACGTGATAGTCTTTCGAAGTTGTATGATTACATTGTCCCAGTAACTGCGAAGAATCTTAAACAAAGCTTTTTGGATCTTCTGAATCATCATGTACAGGTAGTTATGGACAAAAAGCTTTCATAGGAGAACCTAGCACATTCACTAGAAAATCACATACGCCTTTAAATTTTTCTACAACTTCCATTGAGAACTCTGCACTGAGAGAAAAATGTAGTAAAACGGACGGATTATTTTTTGACTCAAACACCCAAACTGTTAGAAAACAATTAAATTTCATGGACAGTTGACTACCAATTTTCAGGACAGTGACATTGAATTAATGCGATTTAGGGAGAAAAAAATCATGAAATTTCAGGTTTCACTGAAAATTCAGTAACATTCCAGAATTTTAAGCGGCATAAAGACGAAAATTCCATAATTTATGTAAATTTCCAATCTAATATGAATATTAGGTGCCAAATTTTTTTCCCCTAAATTGGACTGAGTGTCACTGTCCTGAAAATTTAAGAATATATTTACCAGAATTTTCTGGTTTGACTGTAATGGTTAGATGGGTGAGGTGTTGCTCCGGCGGACATCCAAGCTAAGCAGCGTTGAGCTGAGTTATTACTTGGATGGGTGACCGCTTAGGAACACCTCGGTCGTACAAAAATTGCGGGCGGTAGGTACGGTGTAGCGGCCTAGTGTCTCCTCTAGTGTCTGTCAGTGTGACAGATGGATATATTAGGGCACTGCACAATCGGCCGGCTGTGCGACTGGGGTTTTACATGGTTTCCCGTGCAGTCCTAGCTCGAATGGGGCACACCTAAGAGTAAGACGGCCATGATACCGCAGATAACAATGAGCGGAAAAGAAAGGAGGGGAGGCAGGCTAGAGGAGGGGTTTCAAATCGAGAATTACTTCGATAAAACCAATGAAATAGAAAAATAAAAATTTCTGGTTTTGAGGAATCGGTGCGCGGAGTGGGGGCCGCTGATTCTGATGCGAATGCAATCCCCAGAGGCACGACAAATGTCGAAATAAAAAAAAACATTTTACCCGGAGGCAAAGGGTCAGATTGTCGCTTTTTCCAGAGGGAGAGTTGACTTTCGCCAAAATCGAATTTTTTAGCTGGAACGTTGATTCCAATGATTTGAGCGATGGGCTATTCAAAACTCTCAAAAGTATGTGGAAAAAATGAAAACTGAAGAAATTTTTTTTCTCACCGGGGGCCAAAGTGTCATATCTTGGATTTTTCCCGGGGGAAAGTCGACTTTCGCCAAAATCGAATTTTTTAGCTGGAACGTTGATTCCAATGATTTGAGCGATGGGCTATTCAAAACTCTCAAAAGTATGTGGAAAAAATGAAAACTGAAGAAATTTTTTTTCTCACCGGGGGCCAAAGTGTCATATCTTGGATTTTTCCCGGGGGAAAGTCGACTTTCGCCAAAATCGAATTTTTTCGCCAAGTGAATGTTGATTCCGTATTTATTGACTCCTCTAATGCCAATGACACCCTCGGAGGCGCCAGAAATGTCGAAATAAAAAATTTTCTTTTTCACTTGGAACAAGGGTCAGATTTGTTAACAATTTCATTTTTTATTTTGACAACGTATGCAAGCTAGAATACATTCGGCAACCTTCTCCCCTTGTTGAGTAAAAATGTCAAGCCTCCGCATACATGCGTCTCCCCTCCACTCTCTCGTGAAATGTCGATTTTCGAGATTTAAAAAAAAAAAATTGCATTTTTTATTTCATTAACGCATGCATAAACAGGGATAGGAACCCGGATGTAATATAGGCCCATAGAACTACCGGGACCGGCAAGGATTTGGAAAGTCTGAATGCAAGTCCTGCTTACACCCAACGAGTGCTGAAATGGGACATAACCAGAGGTAGAAAGGTCTCGGAAGCACTTGGGAAGAGGCTTCCCAAGACCTATCCAGTTCTGAACGGAAAGACCTAAGTAGAACTTGTCAGGTCCAATTATTTGACTCGGGAGATAGCAAGAATCGTTATTTTGATTTATTTAAGAATTTGCAAAAAGTCTGTTTTTTTAAAATCAGAATTCCGAGGATATCTTGGAATATCGTTCATACCACGGAACGATCTAATTTACATGAATTTGATCTCATTGCGCAGTTTATCCAAACACCTCGGAAATACCACGAAATTGGTGGAATTTTGTTCTCCCGATATTAAGTTATTAATCATTGATAAACATTCATTTTTTTCTTCCTCTCCTCTGTTGAAAAGTGAAAATTGTGAAAGATTATATATTATGTTAAGGCAAAGGGCGAAACCCTGTGTGGAGATATACAGTCGCCCAATCAGTATTTATACCAATTGCACAAGGTTGTTGTTGCAAGTGAAATGATGGGCCAGATTGCTCTAACTTTTGGCTACTATTTGCAGAATAAGTTGAACAATGGTGAGAATTTTGGTAATTTTCCATGCATTCGATTTCTTTTGCGTACCTATGGTGATTTCTTTCTCTCTAGTCACCATTGACTTTGAACTGAAACGAGCTCAGGTAGATCGACGGGAAAGATTGCAGAATTACTTTGGTAAATTCAAGAGTGCCATGGAAGCCGCTTCACTGAGTTTACGACCATGTGATCCCCCAAATTTTATTAGAGGTACTGTACTCGCAATCCACATAAGCAATCGATTGTTTCCAAAAATTCCATCAAAATTTCTCCCTACAGGTAAAACATTTATTGAAATGGAAAGACTTTTTCAAGCCGTACTCGTTGAGGATTACAACCTGAACTATAGAGATTCATGTCGAGGAACATGTGAAACTATTGACGTGTATGCCCATAGGAATGACAATGACGGAGTGTTTTGTGCTCGCCTTCACAAATGTTGGAAGTTGAAAACTTCCCGATATTGTATAAGGGTGAGTTTACCTGCACATTCCACCAATTATCGACCAATAATCCAGCGAATAATTTTCAATTTGTGAAATAATTTTGCTACTCTTTAAAAATATTCAAAAATACGTCTCAACAATTTTTTAGCTGTGGATCTCATCGGGAGGACAAGAATGACTGATATTCATGTTTTTTCTAGAAAATTTTTCTTCAATGTTTCACAGCAACAAAATCCCCGGGCAATTATTCGCTCAATCTTATGTTTTTACGGCATAAATTACATGGAAAGAGGGATGTTATATGCTATCCATTCACTTTCCTGGTAAGAGGAATTGATTTGTACATTGATGGATAGGTTGACGGGATAATTGCGCGAGGATAATACAGGAAAAGCATTTCATAAGTCAAGATTATCGCTGTTAGTCGTTCAATATAATGAGCGAATTCATCTTGAGGGTGTTTTGTTATGATTACATTCAAATCTAAAGGAAATAGAGCAATTTTCTTGAAGACCTTTTTTATCCAGGTTTTATAAACCAGGATAACCCGAGTGGAAATTCAAATTAGAATAGAATAAGAGACTGATCAGTAAAAACTGATTTTGATCAATTTTGGATCAGAAATGTAACGCTTGTTTGGGTCCATGCCTGGTCAAAATTCTAGGATTCGATATCCCTGAACAGTACCGGATCCGATACAGATCTAGTCGAGATTTGACTGATCAGAATAGGATCACAATTCACTCCGCCACAATGGATACAGATACTCCATTCAGAATCTCATCAGATCCTGATCCGAAAGTCTAATCAATAAATTCTGACCAGTATTGAACCTAAAACTAATGCAGATCCAAGCTAACTGAGTAAAATTTCCACTCGAGAAGTGGTCCAAAATTATTCCAAATTTTTCCATTCATTTTCAAAAACTCTTCAATTATAACTTGTGAATGACAGGTGTGAAGCTCGAACAGGCGTCTGTTTATTGCTGGCGATATCTGTTATGTTTATTTTGGCGATATTCTTTGGATTTATATATTTCTGTCACAGCCTTTAAATAACTAATCAGTGGATTAATAGAATAAAATAAAATTAGTGATGTCGCGAGACACTTTACACTTTACTTTAAATATTCAATAAACATTACGTATCTTTTCCGTAATTCCGGAGCGAAATGTGGTTGTAGGAAATTTTACGGAACTGGCACGGAATTTTGCCGGAGCGGTCGGTAATTTTTATCTGAATCACTTGTGAAAAATTACGATACCGTCAGTTAAATTTTTTGAGTCGACTCCGTAATCGGTGAGTGAATTGTGAATTGTAATTTTTACTGAACATTTCTCTCTGTGAAAAATTTTGGAGATATGTCCTCGGTCTCAATAAATACGCAAATCATTGCTCCCGTCTCAGTCTCAAAATACGCAGTAACGACTCTTCTCGTGATGACTATGAATCAATTTATCTCACCTCGGTCTCAAGTTTTTCATGTTTTTTAATGAAATAAAATCTCGGTTTTTGTCTCGGTTTGTCTCGTCTTGGATTCCTACATATAGAAAACGTAAAAAACTGGAAACCGAGATGAAATAAATTGAATCAGAGTCATCCCGAGAGGAGTCGACATTGCGTATTTCGAGACTGAGACGAGACTAAAGATTTCTATGTTCATTGAGATCGAGATCATCGGTAAATATGCATAAAGACTCCACCACTCGCAATGTATCTGACACGTTGGTAAGTTGGTTGTAAGCATTATTAGAACAATACCTGTAAAATATTATTTGTCGAAAATTGATACCATGGGTGTTATGGGCTTATGAAATGTCACTTACCTCACCGGTTCTCTGCAGTACCCGGGAGCAACGACGTGGACATGGCGGTGTCTGGTCTTAAGGACAACACATGTTGGTACATAGAAAGACATGGAACAACACAGAGATGAGGTGATGCAGGATCTCAACTGATAACCCTGACAGCCGCGAACCGATTTACCTCCCCCATCCTCCTTACGGCAAAGTTTTTAAATGCGGACTTCGCATGAAAAGGGACCACTTAGTCGATATGGAGTTGTGTATACTCTGATAATATTTATAACATTCCGCACATTTTGATCCCAAAATGATCCTCATAGGGTCAAAAATGACGTCGCCAGAGAAGATGAAAAGAACGATTCAACGGTGATGTAAATGGGAGTTGCTGAGACAGAAACATGAATATCTTGAAAACTAGAATCGACAAAGTGGTTCCTTTTCATGTGAACGTCCACAAATATGAAATGTGGCTGTGCTACCCGGTATATCAATCGGAAACCACGGTGGCACGGTGGCCCGACAGAAATAATTATTAGTATGATATTTTTCGAAAAATGCGTGGTGGAGTCTTTCTACATATTTGCCAGATCATCTCTCCAAAATTTTGCCTCGTGATGTCTCGTGAAATGTCTCCCAGCATCACTAAAATGAATGTCCTGATGAAGAACACTATGTGTGTTCGAAACGTTAGCAATTAATGAAAGAATGGTTTTCTCTCACTCTTTCCTTTGTCTCATTTCTAATTAAAATTGCTGTTATGGCCGTTATCCTATCTCCAGTAATTTTTCATATGAAAACTAAAAAAACACTAGGCTTCCCACAAAAATGGTAAAACAATAATGATATCCGCAGCCAAACGAGCTTCGAAGGTACGAATGGATCGAAGATCGACAAGGTACCATTTACGGTGAGAAAAATGGCTGCCAGGGTCAAGAACTGGCAACACCTGGATGGCGAAAACGGTAAAATTATTTTTCTCATCGATCAGTGCATTCTATTAATAGAATCGAATATCTTTTTAATTCTAGTTTATATCCCTGTGAAAATTGTATTTGTACATGTGACGGTGGACACAAGTGGGGCATGGCAAATGAAGTTCACGCATTCAGTTTACGAGTATCACGAAGCAACACTGCGGAGAATATGTATGACAATGTTCATGATTGAATAAATGCTTGTAAAGGTCCTCCGAATTATATTCTCATGCATATTCTTTTTCCTGTAGGGTTGTTACAGGAATCCAGTTTACGAGACACGAATCCATAATTTGCATTCAAATAAAAGAAGGCAAATTACTCCCTGGGGGTGAAATCGATGTTAATTCTGAAAAATGGAGAGAGTGTGATCTATCCTATTCATCTTATCGGATGTCTAGATTTGGAACGTCTGACTACATCGCCGAAGAAGACTACGTTGTCTTGACAAGGTTCTACAATTTTATCGATCTTGATGACTTTGTTGAACAGAGAGATGCAATTGTTACTGGTAAATTATCAAGATTGTCTGTCAAAACCATTACGGCATTTCATGATACCCTACTTTCTCTAGAGAGTTCGGTAACACCGTAGTTGTATCTACTCGTGATTTCAACAATTTTTAAATTTTGAACAATTTTCAAATTTTTAGAATTGACAACATTTAAAGAGGTCTTAATATTTTCCCACACAATAACATGTGAATTTTACCCATTTAAAAAACATCCTAGCTTGCTTTTTTCTGTTCCAGGCGTCAAGTTTGGCCTTTCAGAATACTGTACAGGAGGTAAACATGTAAAATTGCAATTGGAATACTCAAAATTCAATTTTTCGTCCGGTGAATTGAAATCCCGTGAAGGATTTCAGTCGTCCTCAACTTGTCACAGGTAATTAATCAAACTTAAATAAATTCCGTATTTTGCATTCAAAGATGATATCTAAAAAAAATATTTTCAGGCAAAAAATAAGTATTGCTGATACTGATAGTCCACTGAATCAAAGGAAGCCAAGGGACCAGAATACAGTGGACTCCAAAGTAAATAGTTATGTGAGCTTCACCTGGTCTAGTTTTAAGCGAGACGTTGGGCAAACAACTCTCCCATTATTGGATTCCCAGCCGGTGGAGAGTAAACCATCAGCTCCCTTATCCGGTGTTGGACTGTTCTACAAATCATCCCCGGGATATGGAGGATTCCTGGGGTTTAAAATCCACACCCTCAACTACGGAAGGTACATGGAGGAGGAAATGATTGAGGATATTTTGGATGACGATCCAGAAGACTTTGAGATTGGTATTACCACTGAAAGATACAGCAAAGAATTACACGTGAATTTCAGCGAAAGACTATTACCAGCAGTGGATGAAGGAGCTGACGATACAGTCCACTTTTATGGTCAACGAGGCAAAGAAATTGATGATAACTCTGCTTCATACTCTCCTTACTTCATGTTCGTCGTGCTACCGCTTTTTTTAATTGTTTGTCTTTATATCTTTACGACAGTCAAAAAATGCAAAGACAATGCACAACCGATAGTTATATTTTCCTCTGTACCTTCTGATGAACGAGAACTGAAGTAATAGTATAGTATTGTGTTACTAGTGCGTACAGTTCCACTTTTTCTCACACAGGTGTACATATCCTATTTTTGTGATACCTGCCAAATTCACTGTTCCGAACGCCGGTGGGGGTGAAGTGCTTGCTTTTTGTGTACGAGTGTACAAAGTTCAGGAGCGTGCATAAAGTGAATGTCGAGTGCGTAAAGCGAAGCTTACGCGTAATTTTATGATTGGAGACTCCCCCATATTTTTTGAGGACGATTTTATTAAAGTGAAAACCACGAAGTAGGTATGCACTGAGGGATTATTGGAACTTCCCTTCATGAAAAATCCTGACAACACCCTAATTAGGGAGAGTGATATTGATGCATATAAGAATATTACTGTTACGTGAACAGCAATGGAGTTGAATTGGTTGTTTTTGTGTACGCGTGCGGATAATTCAAGAGACCTCCAGTTTACGCACTTGGGATTCACTCTACGCACGTTCGTGAACTTTACACACGCCGTGCGGAAAACAACTGCTTTACGCACACTGAACAGTTTCGAAAAGTGCATTTTTGAGGCAGGTATCACAAAAAAGTGGTTTTTGACTTGTGGAGCGTGCGAAAAAATTCACTTTACGCACAAGTGATGAAAAAGAATTTAATTCACTTTCATCGATACTCAGTGGTAAAAAGCTTGTCATGACTATATTTTTCTTATACTATAATACGCATACAAAATAAATAAACATAAAAACTTGGTAAGTTTGCTCGGTAATTCTGGATTCCTTTCAGAAATTCCTCCGGGTTTTCCCCCATTTTACAGGAAAAATCTGCAATTGTGGCGTACGCTGTTTGTTCATATAAATATTCTGATAGAAAATGTCTTTATACAACTTATTTTTCTCCATAACTTTTCACCAAAATATTTTCTATCGAAATTCGGTCCTCTTATGGAAATTAAAGCCAAGAAATTCCTACCGAAACGATCTAAACAAAATAAGTTGAGTAGGGAAGCCAAAATCTTCCAATTTTTTGTGAATTATTTCCTATTCAACATTTCTGTCCATCACACATGGGGAGAAGCCGCGCAACTTTTGAATGACCTGATGAGGAACAAATGGAATTCCCAATATGAATGTATTGAAATTTCTTAGCTAATGTACTAGATTTTTCTATTGATTTTTTTACGTTTATTACAATGATTACGATATTCATATTCTCTATATTTCGTGTCTCCGTAAAGTATATCCTGATTATTGCAAGAAATTTCTATAATAATCTACGACTTAGTACTTCTACTTGATGGTTAATTTACATATTTTTTGTATTGATTCAATTTTTTATTATTCGTATTATTCAATAAATAAAAAACTTGATTTTACCCTGGCTAGCAATTATATGAAAAGATGTAGATACCTTGTGGTGATTGTATGATGATACCAGAAAAAACAGAAGATTATAAAAAAAGAAAAGTTTGTGATACACGGAGAAAAATGTTCAGTAAAAATTACGGAACTTACAAAGCGCTCACCGATTACGGAATCGACTCAGAAAATTTGAGTGATGGTATCGTAATTTTTCACAGGAGATTCAGATAAAAATTACGGAACGCTCTGGAAAAATTTCGTGGCAGTTCCGTAAAATTTCCTACAACCACATTTAGCTCCGAAATTACGGAAAAGATACGTAATTTTTATTGAATATTTCTCTCCGTGTGTTTCTATGTTTGTTTGCCGTAGAATATTTCAAAGTACTTTAATGATTAATCTCTCGTGCATCATCGGGAATGAGTTATTTAAGGTGATTCCAGTAATGCAGGACATCGGAAATAGGCGAACTTTTCAACCGCGGATCAACTAAAAGGATGTGCTCGCAAACTGCGAGAATACAATACTGTTATGGAATCGAATGGTTTAATCTATCCTCTTCCCCTCTTTTGTAAAATAAAAGGAAAGTTGATTGTCATTCTCTAAATTTTGGGAATAACTTCATGCGTGATCCACTTGTGTTCTATGATTGATTCTGAAGAATTGTCAATAAATACGCCCCTTCGATTTATCCTGAATTATTTCCTAATTAAATACAAGAATACGATCCAGGGCCGAATCGTCCAGGATCCTTTTACACTAAAAGTCCATTTGACTAACGATCCATTTGCTCAATCATTCGTTTTACCAGAGGGTTCCATGGCTTATTTTAACGATCCGTTTGCGAAACGGACTTTTAGCGCAAAAGGAACTTGGACGACACGGAGAGAAATATTCACTTGTAATACCACAAGAGCTTAAAAATTATCGGGTATTTTCCGATAGATTCGTTGCAAACAAACGAAGGAGTCAAGTTTTTCAGGTTCAGGTTTCCTGAAAAACTTGACGACTTTGTTTGTATGCAGGGAACCTTAAGGAAAATGCCCGATTAATTTTGAAGCTCGCATGGTATTCGGGGGATTATTTTTCCAAACCAAATGTCGGGCAATATAATTGGACCATGAGACAAAACTCACAATTGATAAACGAAAATTGTATAATTAACACAACGACACAATTGAATTCAATCTGTCAGTTTGACAAGGGGTTAATTCGACTGCATGATGTTTTGTTTTTTATATAGCAACTACCAGAGAAAATTATCAAAAAATTATCAGTTGAAAACCCTGTAGCTTATACCACGTGATGTCGAATGGGCCAATTATATTACCCGATATTTAGTTTGGAAAAATAATCAATAAAAATTACGTATCTTTTCCGTAATTCCAAAGCGAAATGTGGTTGTAGGAAATTTTACGGAACTGTCACGTAATTTTTACCTAAAATTACGGTATTTTTCCAGAGCGTTCCGTAATTTTTACCTGAATCTCCTGTGAAAAATTACGATATACGTCACTTAAATTTTCTGAGTCAATTCCGTAATCGTTGAGCGAACTGTGAGTTCCGTAATTTTTACCTGAATCTCCTGTGAAAAATTACGATATACGTCACTTAAATTTTCTGAGTCAATTCCGTAATCGTTGAGCGAACTGTGAGTTCCGTAATTTTTACCTGAATCTCCTGTGAAAAATTACGATATACGTCACTTAAATTTTCTGAGTCAATTCCGTAATCGTTGAGCGAACTGTGAGTTCCGTAATTTTTACCTGAATCTCCTGTGAAAAATTACGATATACGTCACTTAAATTTTCTGAGTCAATTCCGTAATCGTTGAGCGAACTGTGAGTTCCGTAATTTTTACCTGAATCTCCTGTGAAAAATTACGATATACGTCACTTAAATTTTCTGAGTCAATTCCGTAATCGTTGAGCGAACTGTGAGTTCCGTAATTTTTACCTGAATCTCCTGTGAAAAATTACGATATACGTCACTTAAATTTTCTGAGTCAATTCCGTAATCGTTGAGCGAACTGTGAGTTCCGTAATTTTTACCTGAATCTCCTGTGAAAAATTACGATATACGTCACTTAAATTTTCTGAGTCAATTCCGTAATCGTTGAGCGAACTGGGAGTTCCGTAATTTTTACTCAACATTTCTCTTTGTGGAAGCGGCCCATAATGTCAATGTATGAATACTATGTTTCTTTCTGTATTGAAGGAGTCACGTTTTTTTTGTTCTTGATCAATCATCAAACAAGATTATAACAGCGCTGTGCTCATATTTCTGATAGGCTTACCACAAAAAATTTCGTCGTCTACACTGACCAAGACACCAACCTAGCGGAATCTTGAATGACCAATGTTAGATTATGAAAAAATTGTGACTCCAGACAGGAATATATTGATTTTGTTTCCATGTAGAGAATGAAACAGCTTTTCGACGAGAAAATCGATTAATCGAATCGTTTCCAGGGTATCATTTTTCCTCTACTTTCAATACAGTTCCACAGTTATTCCGCAATCAAATAGTATCCACACAGAATGAATAAATACGACCTACCATGTCATACCAACTGTCCCAACAACTCATTTCAATATCGATTGAGGATCAATACCAACAGATGGAAGAAATTATTTTCAAAAACACTTGTTCACTATCAATGTCCGCTTTATTCAAGATGATGGAGAAACAAGTGGAAAATATTGACTTGTGATTTTACAACTCATGTAACATGCGATAAGAAAAAAGAGATGGAATAATTCCACATCACCTTTGAATGACAATTCAATTCAATTCAACAATTATACAATAACAATTCAATTCAATTTGTACAATTCAATTTTGTTGAATTACAATTCAACGTCTGGAGTAAATTTGAATGAGGAATCTGAGGCCATAGTTCCTCTGGCTTGTAAAATTGATGGTGACATTACCCAGACCTGGTCCACCTCTGACGATATTAGCATAGCCTCCAGTTCCATTGTTGGTTTGATCCAGAGCACGAACCTGAGTGATCTTCTCGAACCTCGGAGCGCTGAAGATCCTCTGAATAGTGATCTCTCCCGGAGATGATGACCTGACGATGTATTCCCGATGCACCAGGCGATCTCCTGGGAGTCTGCTGCCAGCGATCATATCATGGCTCTTCTTTTGACCTGCCGTGTAGCTGGAGGGTGTCCTGTAAACGTATGCTTCCGATGGTGCATACGTTACAAAGACAACAGCAACAAGGAAAAAGGCGAAGGCCCATTTTGAGTTCATCTTGATGATTGATCCACCACACGTGATTGTAGCGGAGAACTGATTGTAAAAAGTGTGATATCCAGTGTTGACTAGCCTGGGAGTTCACGGTAGAGATACTTATATACGCAGATGGTTACCTGATATCAATCGCCTTATCTCATTTGTGACGTTTACCCTTTGCTGAATAGAGTTCTTCAGACGTCTTATCGTAACAAGTGCCATATCGGTTAAAAGTTTATGACTCATTTGCAAACATAATGATGATGAACGCATTATGTCATCATCGTTCATTAAAGATGATCATCCAAAATCGCAAGCGCTCAAAATTTTTTCGTTATTTTTCTTAAACAGTGTTGGACAGAGTTATTGTTAATGTATTCAATATATTTGAAAGTAGAAATGAAAAATTTTATTAATTTTTCGCTAACGAAGTTTTTGTGTCAAAAGGAAGAATCAGGAACGGCAGGAATTCCCCCATTCTGCGACCACATAACCCATGGAATAACGTAAGTCACGCAGTGTGTCGGTGTGAGAACAGTAGGGAGCCCCTCAATGTGGTAGAGCGCCATAAGAAAGGCCGCCATTGCGGCAAAGAACTTCGGTTGCAGTTTCTCTAGCATCTTATTCGCAATATAGTGGCAGCCTTATAGTACGACGAGCGCTGAAGAACATCAGTTATGAATTACTTATTGCTATCGGAGATATTCGAATTTCCAATGAGAGCGAATAAATCGGAGTCCAAATATGATTTGACACTCTTCGGAGTAGAAATTGATAAAATACCAGGAAGTATACCGGTACTGATGACGCGCAAATGAACGCTTTTGAGACAAATAAATTTATCAGCTCTTGAGGACAAATCGCTTAGAATGAGAATTTCCTCGAACAAGACTAACTACGTAAAAATTTCGGGAAGTGTTTACGTTTGAAGTTATAAAGACTTTTCAATGAAAACAAAATATAAAACGGAGAGAATACAAAATTAAAAAATACTATGCGAACATAGCAATCAAGGACGATACCGAAAAAACTTTAAAATTTGATTTATTTTAACCGAATGTTTGCGATGCGATATTGATTTTTTACGACTTGACATAGTAATTATTAACGAGAAAATTTCTAAGAACAGTGTAAACTGCATGGATGAAAAAATAGTTTTCAAGAGAGTGTTGAAAAGGTTTATTTTTTACGAATATTTACTATTAAACGATGAGAATTTACCCAAATCCTATGAATTTGCTACTATGGGGAATTTTCACTTTCTACATGCTGTAATGAAAAGTAGGATTCGACACTCGTGGGAAAAGTGTTTATTGACCCTTGGGAAGGTAACACTCGCCTTTGGCTCGAATCGAACAGATCGAAATTATTCATGCAATTATCCCCAAAATGGGTCAATATTCAATTGAATGATTAAAAATGAGTCAATTCAATTAAATTCTCGATTACCAACAAATTATCGCTCTTTGAAAAATGTATTTCCGTTGTATAATTAGATAAATAATAATTTTCCACTCAAAAAATCATACTGAAGATGAATAATAAAAGGAATAATGAGTCTAACCTCCATTTGCTAATATTTAATATACACGGACAGAAGAGCCATGGGAAAGAGTCCCATGTCAAATTTACGACTTGTATGTATTTCTAAAATTTAAGAAGCATTACTATGTTATGGTAATGATTCCTATGGGGTATGGTATTACATACTATGGGCCATGGTAAGTCTCTCGATGGGAATGAAGCCTATGAACATAGGAGAAATTATTATATTGATTGATTGATTTATTTATTTTCTGAAACGTTTTACATTACCCTTATTGCAAAGGGGGGGTTGCATACAGGTAGCATGAATATAAGAAATAAATAAAGAGTTAAGCGCAAGTTGACCGAAGAAAAATACAGGCTGCGAAAGCAATTATCACACAATAGATGCAAGGTAGGTAAGCATGAAATGGTTATGTACAAAAAGCGGCTCGATATAAAGCAAAAGATTAGGTGCAGCGTAAAAAATAAAAATAAACAAAGAATAGTCCATAGCAGTTCCCTAGAATACATAGATGAGCATGCAGCTCAGTCGATTGCATAAATACAAACAGTACAAAATTTAAAAATATGGAAAATATGGAGAATAAGACAAATATGGTGCGTCGCTTGGCCACGGTGTAACGGGAAGAGGGGAAATTATTATATTGAATAGTACCCTCTACCATGTTACAGGGTAGAGTGTACTATTAATTATGATAAAGGGACCCATAGTCGTTTGGTAAAATTTACCACAGTTTATAGGGGAGATTACCATGCACTATGGTAACATGACCTATATTATATGGTAAAACGTGAAAAAGTCATAAAATGTCACGAATATAAAAGATAATGATCACTAAACTATATCATGATAATGATGAGTATAATGAGATAGAAATTTCAAGTGGGATATATATTTATATTTAACGTATTTGGTTTCGACGCTGTTTCAATAATTACAGAGTATTTTCTTATAATGTGGGATTCTTTCCTATCAATAATCATCAATATACCTAGATTAATCATATCGAATATCGTAAGGATCATATTTAACAATAACATATTTACATCAGTATTTTAATATCTGAATATACATATCTACAGAATAGTGGGATTTTTTTCCCCAAATTTTACCTAACCATTGGAAGAATTTTTGGCATTACGGTGCTATAAAAATTATTAAAAAATTCAAATGTAAGTAATTAAACTCAACAACTTTGCGTGAGAATTTAGACCCAACGTTTCGGAACCTATTGCTTTCCATTCCCGGAGGTAGCTATATACGATAGGATACAAAATTTCATTTGTCGAAATGTCAATGTCGACCGCCTTTTATCATTTATATCAATTTCATACGATTGGAAATATCTTTCAAAGGAGTATTCTTGTAATTGTTGAGTAACAAGAATAACTTGATTATTTGGCTCTAGGATTACGATATTGATCAAATGTAATTGAGGACCAGCCTCGGTCGGCATCATCAATATTACGTTTTCCCTGATATTATGTCCCAAATAATTGAGAGAGCTTACTATTGTAATATCTCCAGATCGATTGGACGGGAGAACTGGCAGAAAATGACGATAATTTGGATCTAATTCTAATCTCTTGTTAAGAGCTGGACCAGGGAGAAAAGGTGGTGGTAAAGACTTGTTGACGAGTAACCGATAATTAAATTTTAATTGTACCTTGATGGCTATTTTTAGTATTTTCTTCGATATCGAGAAAAGTCGAGATTACCATGTATAAATAGTACTGATTACCATCCACATAGTAATCTCTCCTATAATAATGGTTGTCGTTGCTATATTGTATAGTAATGCCTACCATGTTCGAATGGTATTGATTACTATACAACATAGTACGCTTTACTGTTGAACATAGTGAAAATTACTATTGAGATTGACTTAGAAACCCTTTTACCATAATTTATGGTAACCTCTACCATATAAAAGTAACCCCTACCATTCACTTTTCTCCGTGCACTATTCATTTACTTGGTCGATAATTGTATAAATAATAGAGATTTTTAGTCATTTTGATGATTGATCTTACTGCAAAAAAATTATAACCGCCGAACTACGGCGAAAGACAAACTGTAATTGGCGTCAAAATTTTTGACATTTTATAGACAATTTTTGGTGAAAATTTCAGATTAAAAAAAAATTACTTTTTGCGTAATTAACAATTTAACCCTAGTCTGGTCACCAAACACGACCCTGCGACTTGGTCACCTCTGGGGGATTCCCCGCCGTGTTATTTAGGCTTTTAACGTTGCCGAATTCACTCTACACTGCCCGGGCGCGTTTAGCGAGTTTCCGGGAACGTCGCGTCATGGGCAATTTCATTTAACAGGAAAAAATAATTCATCTGTTAGAAATGATTTGTTTTCTTGCGGAATTTTGGGAAATATGTTGTTCTAAAAACTATTATAACTTTTTAGACACTTCAACTGACAATATCAAATTTTTTTGAATTTTTCCGGTTAACCAGTCAATTGTAATTCAAGAAAAAAGACGCGTGGCGGGGTTTCCCTCATAGGATGACCAATCTAGAACACTGAAGAAAAAAGATCACATTTATTTAAAAAAATAATTATAAAAAAGTGTGATTTAAAAATTATGCGGAACTTCTGAAGAAAAAATTAATTATATTCATTAAATATGTAGTTCAAAAAACTTGTAAAGTATTTTTAATTGAAAAAAATTAATTATAATAATTACAAAATACAATTTTTAAAAATCATTAAGAATTCGCAAAACAAAGAAAATTATAATTATAAAAAAATATGATACAAAACGTAATTGAAAAATCGGAGAATATTTTATTTCCATTTTCTTCAAATGTCACATCACCAATAAACTCCTCCTCATCACTAAATAAATTCTCCTCACTGCCTAACTCTTCATCTCTATCAGGAATTATACGATTTTGCCTGATTTTATCTGCTTCGAAAATCACCTTTTCATTTTTCAGTCATTCCATTGATTCACTATTCGGAGGTTAGATTTCCTTCCTTGTTATTCTCTTTTAATAGGTGATGCGCATGCGCGTCATGCGTTATTTCGGGTTTCAGTTGACTATAGTCAACTGGAAAGTAGCGGGTTTCAAGCGCCTACCCACACTCAACTGTTAGAGCAGTGGGTTTCAGTTGAGATTCATTCAGAGAGCCTACGGTGAAAGAATTGAATTATCTTTTGTTTTGGAATAATTATTATTGATAATTGTTATTGATACTGACAGACAAGTCATCCGGTTTTCATACAGTTGACTTGATCAAGTTCGGATCCATTCGTCCTGATCAAATCCGAATTGATCAGAGGCGTTACATGTCTGATCAAGACCGGATCCATCAACTTGATCAATACCTGATCAGTGGTCAGGTCTAACCTGATCCAAACTTGATCAAGACCTGACCGAGATTTCCACTCGGGATAGCTAGCGATAGTCCTCAGACTAATGTCGCTGGCTACTGACAATTGGTCACTTTGCTTTCCTCCGGCGAGGATCGTAGGCGAACCCGGGTGAGGCCTTCTTGATCGCTTCACCACACCTGAATACCGAAACTGAGCCGCTGCCCGAAATTTAATACATTTAAAGTGCTATGACTCGCGGAAAGAATGCGCTACCTAGGTCGGTCGCGAAACTACATAATTTCAAAATATTCCCCGGGAGTCGATAGCCCACTCAACCATCTTTGCTTCTAATTTCTCAATTCACATTTTCTTGAATCCCATTAATCTCGTACATCTCAATAATTATTTTTAATTGCGTAAAATCAAATTATCATTTATTCATGGGCTGTGAGTTCCTCACAAACTAAAGAAAGATGCGCGTAGGCGATTTTTTTCAAAAACTGATTTTCAACAATATTTTACAAACACAACGTCCCTTGAAAAAAAAATATCTAAACACAAATTTTTCATGTTCAAGTGAAATAATTACCTCATCTCCTCCATTCCAAGGTCTCACCGCAGCGCAATCTCGAAATCAAAATGCTGGACGATGAAAAAACTGCGACCCCACGTCTTTTCCCATGTAAAGACTGAGATTGTTTTTCAATACCAAAATCGGTCGTTCAAATGTCTTTCTATACTCTTTTCCAATAATGATTTACGAACATTTGCCAATTGAATATTATCCACAGAAAATGAATGATTACAATATTATCTGCCCCGAATTCTCATTTCAATGTCGATCGAGGAATCAATGAAGAGGAGAAATCATTAAAAAAGGAAACACTTATTCATTATCAGCATTCGCTTTATTCAAGGTGATTGAGCGAGAAGTGGGAAATATTGACTTATGCTTTCACAACTCATACATCATGCGATAAGAACGAAGAGGCGAAATAATTCCTCATATCACCTTTAAGTTACAATTCAACGTCTGGAGTAAATCTCAACCTGGAATTTGATGCCATGATTCCTCTGGCTCTTGAATTTCATGGTGACATTGTTCATCCCAGGCCCACCTTTGACGATACTAGCGTAGGCCCCAGTTCCATTGGCGCTTAGATCCAGAGCAACAACCTGAGTGATTCTCTCGAACTTCGGAGCTCTGAAGATCTTTTGAATCGAGGTGATCTGCCAGAGTGATGACGATTTGATGACGTACTCGCGATGCACCAGACGGTCTCCTGGGATTCTGCTGCCAGCGATCATATTATGGCTCTTATTTGGAGCTGCCGCATAGCCGTAAGCGTATGCTTGCGGTGGTGCATACGTTACGAAAACGACAGCAGCAAGGAAAAAGGCCAAGGCACACTTCGTATACATCTTGATAATCGGTTTTTCACACTTGATTGTAGCAGAGAATTGATTGTAAGGAATGCAATGTTCAGTATTGACTAGCCTGAGAATTCACTCTAGAGATACTTATATACTCAGCGGGTTACCTGATATGGATTGCTTTGTCTTATCAGTGACGTTTGCTGTTTTCTGAAAAGCCTTCTCCAGATGTCTTATCATAACGAGTGTCACATCGGTTGAAATTAGTCAGGCCCTGATGACTCATTTGCAAACATAGCCGTGATGTAGTTGTTTCTAACCAAGGGAAGAAAAATAAAAGAGTTCTGCCCACGTGCATAATTATAGGAAGACTAGGGATTAAGCACGTGGGTAAGGGTTATTTAACCTTCCGTTGGTAGAACCGTAGAGGAGGAACCGCAGTGCGGGATATCTAGATAATCTATATAGAAATGTGGACTTTGAGTCCGTCGGACGAAAAAACATTACGTCATTCATCGTTATTCATTAAGATTTCAGGTGTTCTGCGTCGATCAGTTATGCGACGTAGTTTTCCGGAGACCTTTCGAATCCTCAGTTCTTTTCAGCCCTGAGAAGTCCTCTATACTACCTAGACCTTGTGATTTCACGAGTGGGTGGAGGAGAAAGGCATGTATGCAGAGGGTTGAAATTTATACTCAAGAAGGAGAGAGGGTTGCAGAATATATTTTAGCCACCCTCATCTCTCCGTTCGCATGCGGTATTTAAAGAAAGAATAGTGAACCTTGATTCTGTATTTATTGACCTCTCTGATGTCAATGAAACCCTCGGAGGCGACAAAAAAAACAAAAAAAAATTCATTTTCATTGGGTCAAGGGTCAGATCTTCACGGAGAGAAATATTCAGTAAAAATTACGGAACTCACAATTCACTCACCGATTAAGGAATCGACTCAGAAAATTTCAGTGACGGTATCATAATTTTTCACAGGAGACTCAGATAAAAATTACGGAACTCACAATTCACTCACCGATTAAGGAATCGACTCAGAAAATTTCAGTGACGGTATCATAATTTTTCACAGGAGACTCAGATAAAAATTACGGAACGCTCCGAAAAAATTCCGTGATAGTTCCGTAAAATTTCCTACACCCACATTTCGCTCCGGAATTACGGAAAAGATACGTAATTTTTATTGAATATTTCGCTCCGTGCTGGATTTTTCTCGGAGGAAAGTCGACTTTCGCCGAAGTCGAATTTCTTCGTCAAGTGAATGTTGACTCTGTACTTATTGACCCCTCTAATGCCAATGAAACCCTCGGAGGCGCCAGAAATATCAAAATGAATAGTATATGTATGGTGCATCAAGGGCGGAAAGTCATGTTTTCCCGCCCGAAGTGCACATGCTATTTTTTAACACGCCTGCAAAGGAAAGTTCGTATTTTGCTCTTTGATGAGCGGGAGGAAAGTACGAACTTTCCGTGCAGGTGTGTGAAAAAATTTTTTTCCGTCCCGGCGGGCGCAAAGTTACATTTTTTCTGACTTTGCGCTTACGCCGAGACGGAAAATCGCGTTCTAACCACGGGAAGTAAAATAAAGGACCCTCAGCCGCCAGTGCAATTACCAGCCGAGCCGAAGGCGAGGTTGGTAAGCACGCGGCTGAGGGTCCTTTCTTTTCCCTCCCTAGGTTAGAAATATACTATTTTTCAACCGGGGCCAAAGTGTCAAATCTAGGATTTTTGCCGGAGGAAAGTTGACTTTCGCCAAAATCGAATTTTTACGCCAAGTGAAGGTTGATTCTGTATCTACTGACGATTCTGATGGTAATGAAACCCAGGGAGACACCAGAAATGTCGAAATAAAAAATTTTCATTTTCACCTGAATCAAGGGTCAGATTATTTAACAATTTCATTTTTTATTTGGACAATGCATGCAAGCGGAGGGACGAGAGTAGCTAGAATGAATTCTGTAACCTTCTCCCCTTGTTGGGTAAAAATTTCAAGCCTCTGCATACATGCGTTCCCCCTTCACCCCCTTGTGAAATGTCAATTTTCGATATTTTTAAAAAAATTTAATAATCAAAAAAAATTTTTTTTTTAAATTTAATAAATTTTTCACCCGCAGCCAAAGGGTCAGATCTTGGATTTTTTCAGGGGGAAAGTCGGTCAAAGGGTCACGAGGGCCAAAGTGTCAAATCTTGGATTTTTCCAAGGGGAAAGTCGACTTTTGCCAAAATTGATTTTTTTTTGCCGGGTGAACGTTGATTCCAACTATTTAAGCGACGGGCTATTCAGAACTCTCAAAAGTATGTGGAAAAAGTGAAAATTGAAAAAAAAAATTTTCACCGGCGGCCACAGGGTCAAATTTTTGGTTTTTACTTGGAACAAGGGTCAGATTTGTTAAAAATTTCATTTTTTATTTGGACAATGCATGCAAGCGGAGGGACAGGAGTGGCTAGAATAGATTCTGCAACCTTCTCCTCTTGTTGAGTAAAAATTTCGAGCCTCCGCATATATGCATCTCCCCTCCACCCTCTCGTGAAATGTCGATTTTCGAGATTAAAAAAAAATTGCATTTTTTATTTCAATAACGCATGAGTAAGCAGGGATATGAACCCAGATTTAATATAGGCCCATAGAATTACGGGGACCGACAAGGATTTGGAAAGTCTGAATACAAGTCCTGTTTACACTTAACAAGTGCTGAAATGGGACATAACCAGAGGTAGAAAGGTCTCGGAAGCACTTGGAAAGAGGTTTCCCAAGACCTATCCAGTTCTGAACGGAAAGACCTAAGTAGAACTTGTCAGGTCTAATTTTCAACTCGGGAGGGTGATTCACAAGGTCATCTACGAGTCAATTCAGACCTATAGTCGAGGCCTTAAGTATTGAGGCTGAGTACAAGGCTCATTCAGGCCTTAACACATCCTCAAACATAAAGTCTACTTTTAATTAATTTCCGCAATTCTTGAAATAATGGCCATCAATTAATGATGGGGAAAACGTTATCCCTTCAATCTTCAACTTTCGACAATCAATTATTAATTAACGAGCAAAGTTTCTAATGTTTAAAGACGAAAAAATAGTCCTTTAAAGCCGAAACTTTAGATGAAAAAATTGATAAAAATTCATGCAAGTTCCCTGTTCCTGTTAATTTACTGAATTTCGATGTTGTCCTGGTGTAAACTTTCAATACTCCGTTGGTCGCGGTTTGTCTAGCATCGCACTCGGAATTAATTATGAATTGTTTATTGCGATGCATCGGGTAGATAGTCAGAATTACACCGAGAGCGATGAAATCATAACCCAAATGCAATTCAAGTCTGGCTGAAGTCGAATTTGATAACATACAAGGAAACACCAGCGCTATCACGTAAACCGCTCTTGAGCCAAATATATCAACACTTGAAAACAAACCACTTGGGATCAGAATGGTTCAATTCATCATGTACGAATTCTGTGAATTGTTCATGATTTGTAATTTACGTTCATAAATACTTCACGATAACGTAAAAATGTCTTGACTTAGGGATTGTTTTTTTCGTTCAGAAGATGGGAAAATGGCCGGAAATACAGTATGCTTTGACTTAGTCAATCATGAATCCGAGATTTTTGTCTCAAATGAATAGAGTTCATACAGAGGAGATCCTTCAGACACTTCTGAAATAAACTGGTAAACATTTTTTATTTAAATTTTCTAAATACTACTATTCGTATTAAATGATAGTTGCACTGAAAATCTGTGTAATTTGATACGGAGTATTCATGTTTTGATTAATAATTTAAGTAAGTTCACGTTTCCCTGCTGCTCAAAATTCGAATTTTTAAATTATGGCTGGGTAACCGCCTAATGAATTTAAACCTCTTTGAATCAACTCATACATTATTATAGATGATCACATAGATGTACGGGAGTCCCCATTCGGCACCTCCCCCTCCCCCCGCCTCCAAAGATAAAGCAAAATTTAATTTACATTACATTACGGTATCATATTAAATTCAAAACAACGCGGTACCCGAGTTGATGATTTGGTTCTGATTGGAAGTACACAGGTCTTTCAAGATCTCTCCAGATCTAGATGGACCTGGTAAGTTCTGCGACGTACTTTTCCGGAGACCTTTCGAATCCTCAGTTTTTTTCGCCCCTGAGAAGTCCGCCTCTATGCTACCGAGACCGCGGGATTTTACGAGGGGGTAGAGGCGAAGGCATGTAGGCGGAGGGTTGAAATTTGTAGCCAACGAGGAGACAAAGTTGTAGAATATATTTTACCCACGCTCATCTCCCCGTTTGCGGGCGGCGTTTAAATAAAAATTAGTGAACGTTGATTCTGTATTTATTGACCCTCTGATGCCAATGAAACCCTCGGAGGTAATAGAAAAGACGAAAAACAAATTTTCATTTTCACGTGGGTCAAGGGTCAGGCTGAAAGTCGATTTTCGCCAAAATTGAATTTTTTCGCCAAGTGAAGGGTGATTCAGTATTTTCTAACGATTGTGATGCCAATGAAACCCCCGGAGGCGCGACAAATGTCGAAATAATTTTTTTTTTCACCCGGAGCCAAATGGTCCGATTTTCGGTTTTTCCAGGGGGAAAGTCGACTTTCGCCAAAATCGAATTTTTCAGCCGGGTGAACGTTGATTTCAACTATTTAAGCGACGAGCTATTCAGAACTCTCAAAAGTATGTGGAAAAAGTGAAAACTGAAAAAGTTTTTTTTTCCAGATTTTCAAAGGGTTAGATTTTCCGTTTTTCCAGGGGGAAAGTCGACTTTCGCCAAAATCCAATTTTTTAGCCGAGTGGACGTTGATCCCAACGTTTTAAGCGACGGGCTATTCAGAAATCTCAAAAGTATGTGGAAAAAGTGAAAACTAAAAAAAAATTTTTCACCGCGGGCCAAAGTGTCAGATCTTGGATTTTTCAGGGGGAAAGGCGGTCAGAGGGTCACAAGGGTCACGAGGCCCAAAGTGTCAGATCTTGGATTTTTCCAGGAGGAAAGTCGACTTTCGCCAAAATTGAATTTTTTAGTCGGGTGAATGTTGATTCCAACTATTTAAGCGACGGACTATTCAGAACTCTCAAAAGTATGTGGAAAAAGTGAAAACTGAAAAAGTTTTTTTTTCACCGGCGGCCACGGGATCAGATTTTCGGTTTTTACTTGGAACAAGGGTCAGATTTGTTAACAATTTCATTTTTTATTTGGACAATGCATGCAAGCGGAGGGATAAGAGTGGATAGAATAGATTCTGCAACCTTCTCCTCTTGTTGGATAAAAATTTCAAACCTCTGCATGCATGCATCTCCCCTCCACCCTCTCGTGAAATGTCGGTTTTTGAGATTAAAAAAAGCAATAATTGCATTTTTTATTTCAATAACGCATGAGTAAACAGGGATATGCACCCAGATTTAATATAGGTCCATAGAATTACGGGGACCGGCAAGGAATTGGAAAGTCTGAATAAAAGTCCTGCTTACACTTAACAAGTGCTGAAATGGGACATAACTAGAGATAGAAAGGTCTCGAAAGCACTTGGGAAGAGGCTTCCCAAGACCTATCCAGTTCTAAACGGAAAGACCTAAGTAGAACTTGTCAGGTCCAATTATTCGACTCGGGTGGTAAGGCGCACATATCTGGTCCTACCAGTATTCAATGTAATTACACAGTGTGGACGCAGCTGGTATGGACCCCAAAATGGCCCACAATATGAAAATTCATAGATGGTATTGTAGCAAATATTTTGATAGGGTAAATACTATTAAAAATATTCCCTATTTAACAATTTAAAGAATGGACATTCGTCCGTATATTGTAGATTCTTGTTGTAAGTACAAAGATGTGATATCAAGCAAACAATTTAGTGATCAATCATATAATTATGTGTCTTGATCAGTTGAGTGTTCTCACCCACGACCAACTGTCCACGATCCCGTTCCTTACAGGAACCTCAAACCCAGGTTCGTCATTTGTGCTTATGCTGAATTATATTTACATCGAGATCTGGGTCGCCAACGGATCGATTGCTCAGAGGGTGTACGCCAGCACTTCTCTGAACAAAGTCATCTGAATCCCGAGTTATGATCATTCAGTCCCAGTATTTTCAGTGTGAAAAATCTCTCCACAGTATATGAATTATAATATTTGTCGCCACTAGCCGACCGTAATGGTTGGGTGAGTTAGGTGTTAAAGTTTCTACATTTAAGGACTAATGTTCATAAAACTTTTTTTTTATGCTAGTTTTTAAGGGGAGACTACTATGAGTTTTAAAAGTCGTGGGTTATTCGAGTGACACTTTTCATACGTTGAGGATCGATTATATAGATCTGAAAACGAATAATTAGTGCAAAAAAAAATTTTTTCATTGTTCGTTTGCCCGAAAATGCTTAACATGCTAAAAACAGTCCAGGGCCTCCAATTTTTGGAGCCGATGTTGTATACTGAAACGAACTTTCGGTGAAACTTTGGAATTTAATGATATTTTTTCTCTTAAATAGAACTCAATGTTGTTTTTTTGAAAAATAGTATTTTTAAAATACTATTCAACTACTGTCTGTATAATTTCAATTTTTTTCTAACAGCGTATACCTATTAAGTGCTCTCCATCGCAATGATTTCAAAGAGAAGATAAGAGAAGATTATTAATAATAATTATAATTATAATAATAGTAATATTTCTTCATTTTAGACTTTCCTTGTCGTTGCTGTAATCTTATCTGATTTCTGTCAATTTAATGTCGCACAATTTTTCCCCGAAGAGCAATGATTTCTATCGATACATAGGATATATTTAATAGCACATTATACACCGAGAAAAATTTTTGGTAAAAATTACCCTTCCAGAAGGATAAACGCTCATTATTGAAATTTTTCGTCTAATTTATATCCGGAAGTTCGACAAAAATTGATGTTAAATAATAAAATTTATCATATGTAAAGTAAATTTTACCCTTCCGTATGGTAATTTTTGCCGAAGGAACCAAAAATTCTCTATACATTTGTCAAAATGTATATAGACAAAGACAAAAAATATCTATATGAATAATAAAAATTATAGTTATCCTGGTAATTATTATAAAATTCATAGAATAATTTTTATTCACCCAATTCTATTAAATTATACCCATCGTGCGCATCAAAAACTAACCAGATGCGCGCGACACTTTTTACCCTTCCAAACATTAAATTCTACCAGTAGAATGTCTTATGCTGGAACAGTAATTTTTATCCACATATTTGTAAAAACTACCAAGATATGTAATAATTTTTATCCGTGCATACTGACAATTTTTACTCAGATAAGAACAAATATTATCCGGAAATGTTCATTAAAATTTATCCACACCAAGGATATTTATTGCTTCAAAAATACACTGCTACAGAATTATCCTTCCGGGTAATTTTTACCTGGATTTCACGATAATTTTGACCAAAAATTTCTCCATGATAGAGTACAAGGTTACAAATTTCGTTTTCGACGAATGTGAAATTTGCAGGCCGAGCCGAAGGCGAAGTCTGTAATCACATTCTGTTGCGTGTCAAAACACGCGAAATTAATTAATTATCGAGTATTTTTTTCGTATTTTTTCTGAGAACAATTTAACGTTTTTTCTTCGAGTAAATTCCCCAATAAATTCATAGAAACCTTGAAAATTTCAGTCGCATCGTCTTGAGTATAATAGAACTATAGAATTCTTTCAAATATTTTCGGAATATTGCTCATTTTGTCCTTTCAGCACATTTTCTCTTTAGAATTTGAATCGTTTTATTAAAATAATCCTCAACTCTCTGCACTCATAAAGAACCTTTTCCATTTCCTTAATCACTACAACACCGTCCTAATCCCTTTTATTGAAGGTAAACTCTGCGCGTAAAATTACTTTATAGATTCCTTTCCTAAATCATCATCATATTGTCTAGTGCAATAATCACCTTTCGTCTCAGTGCAAAAATTCCTTTTTTTCTCACTTATTGCACTCAACTTTCAAATATACCTTTCGAGACATTTTTAATTGGGGAATAGGCCCAACAGACGCCAGAAGTATCCCTCTCCATGCTCCTTTATGACCCACTGAGTATTTCATTCCATCAGAATATAGTCCCTCCCATCCTAATGATTTTCCTCCAATCATTTGCAACCTCAGATATCCATTTCTCCTTCCACAATTTTTCATCCCTTCCGACTACCTTTCTACAACTTATCTCCAAAATGAATTTTCATCAAACAGTATTAACGCGACTCTTATAGAAGAAACATCTCAACGGAGATCTTTCCATTCCTCATTATCTGTATGTGCATTGTAACTTGTCATTCTTGTAAAATATATTTTAAGTTTTTATTGAAGGTGTTGTGTAAGTGTCATTTATGTCAACTCCAATTCTTCCTAAAAACATTTAATTAACTACATAAAGAAAACCTCGGCGTGTAGTGTTTATTCGCAAATAAATTTATCATTCTGTAGAGGTCAGATTCCTAGAATTTACAACTCTAGGGAATTCAAAAATTGAATGTGGTATTCCAGCGAATATAATACATATTCGTTGAAAACCAAGTTTATGCCCGGGTGATCTATAATATTTCATGTCACACCGTGCAGAAGTCGAGTTTGACGCACGCGGCGCAAAGCGTTGCTACTACGTTCACCTCGTGCAAAAATAGTAATTATGTCATCCGGTGATAAGAGTATTTTCCGATCCGTGTAATTTTATAATCTGAGCCAATAGCGAGATAAAAACAAAAAAGAATTTATAGTTTATTTTTGGTGTGATTGTTCAATTTCAACATTACGCCATTGCATAGGGCAATACTAGTATTACGCGACCAAATCGTAAATTATTTTCAGTAATTCCACTAGGCTGCTGTTAATGAATTTAAACCTCTTTAAGATATCTCATATATCATGAATGCTCTACCTAAGATATGCGGGTAACCCAACAAGACCTTTCCTTCTAAATCTATGATTTAAATTTAATTTAATTTAAATTATTCGAAATTATTTCACAAGGGTGCACCAAATTCGGCTATTTGGGTCCCATTCGTAAACTGACGCTACCACGGTACTATTGTTTGCACGATTCTTCCTCAAGAATCTGATTCTGTAGATCAGAATTGTCTTCGACCACTCCAGATTCGAGATTTAAATTTTTTGTAATCGAAAATTTAAATATGAAAAAAATCCCCAATGTATAAATTTTTAGAATAGTTTTTTGAATATGAGCACTAATTTTAGCTCTTTAATTGAATATAAAAACGGCGGAGAAGATGCATTTTGAAATTTATTCATCCATCTAAACTCCTATTAATATCTACAAAAAAATATTTTTAAAAATATTCGAAGTATATTCACGAATGAGAACTCTATTTTTTCCGAGGGGAAATAATCAGTAGACATACTAATCTGGACGAACTTCATGACATCGAATACTATCCGACGAATACTATCTGATTGGCCGACGATCAGAAATAATCGTAAAACTATTTCCTTGTGGGGCTTTTTGAAGGACATCGGCGATTGTACATGTTTATTAGGGTAACGCGTTTGCTGGATAGCATCATTGTTATACATCTCGACGTCCTAACAGAGCAAGGAGGCATATACGTACAACAAAATTTTTATCCATCTCAGGTGCGTCCCTCTTTTTCCATAAGGTCAAGGTAAATAGAACAATTGTAGATCGAATTAACGTAAAAATTTAGTGAGAATAACTCTGGATATGTATTCTTTTGTCCCCAAAAACTCACAAATATCTCTCCGCCAGATAACAATAAAATTTCCGGAATTAAAAAAAAATATCCATCATTCGCCTCACAGATCTTCCCCCATTCCCGTAAAAATTCCGCGAACAAGCATTTTGCAACATGTTTGCGGGAATTATCACGTAATTTTCCAACATTAATTTCACAATTATTTTTTAGAAATTGATTGAATCTATTTAGACGAACCATGAAGGGATTCTCCTTACTTACTCCGATGAGTTGTTGCATGTTCTTTGCTATACTGGCGACAATATGAGAGTGATCTTTCCATCTAACCCCTACTTCCCCCACCACCGACGCGCGCATGCGCAATGCTGCGGGAGCACACCCTCAATCCGCCGGTGCTATTTTCTTGGGTTTTGAAGACGAAAATTTCGTGCAACACACAGCGAAAAAATCGACTTAAAAAAAAACCTTTTTCATCATTAAATCTACACTCATTAATCTATTCATCCATTCATTCCTTTAGCTCATTCATTCTTCACATTAATTCATCATTTAATCATTTTATTTTACAGCTCTTCATAAAAAAATATCGCGTTTAAAACGTGTTCCAGTGAAGACTTGTGTCATTATTTGTTTAAATTAATTTTGTGGCNGTCAGTTGTTCATCACAACTGGTAAGTCTTCTTTTGTGAATTCCAAAAAATTTTAAAAAAGAATTATTTTTCTTGACGTTTATCAATGCTTCAAGCTACTAATGCTCTTTTAACGGGAAATGACTTAGACACAAACGTCGAAATTTTCTTGCATATTCAATGTTCTTTAAAGAAAAGCTGAAAAAAAATATAGTTCACTCTCTCAATGGAGGGGCTGCTCACTCCCGAAATTATGGCGCCACTCCGCGATGAAATCAATTCGAAATCACATTGAAATCAAATGAAATCAGTGAAATCACCGAAATCACTGAAATCAAGTGATTTCAACTTTCCGAAATCGTTTTCGAAATCACCTTCGAAATCACCCGGAAGTCGTTCGAAATCACCGAAATCAATCGTATTCAACGGGGCCAAAATCGAAAATTGCTTGTGTCGTGCAAATAGTAGTCCGGGATTTTGAGTTTGTCGCGCGTACCACCGTCAGTCGTGAAATCTCGCACTCATCGCCAGATCATTTTTTCTGAGAATCCCATATTTATTTGCCTCCATCCGCCTCAAAGTGGCTACTATCATGTGACGATCAAAATCTACCAAATATCAAATTTTCGTTTTCAATTAATCAAGGTGGGGTGCCAACTTCACAGAGCTCGTCTTGCCCCATTTTTCCTTTATTAAAATTCATTTATCGTTATTTCAATGATTGCACTTTTTTCGAAATCTTTGATTTCCGATTGATGAAATCATTCGAAATCATTCGAAGTCAATTGTAATCGTGAAATCATACCCCGGGACGCTTGAAATCATTGAAATCATTGATTTCGGAAATCTCGCCGAAATCATTGAAATCAGAGCGGTAATCATCCGAAATCGATTTCATTTCGAAATCATGGTGTCACCAAATGGATGAGTGAGTAGCCCCTCGCTCTCAATGGCCTCAAGTATAGACAGCCACACGGAGAAAATAAAATAGTAAATATTACGATGTCAGAATCCGGACATAGTAAGCACTACCATGGACATGGTAATAGCTACCATGGACATGGTAATGGCTACCATGCAACATCGTAATGGTTACTATGGGGCATGGTAAGTTCCTCAATGGTAAAAGGTACTATGGACATAGTAATAATTACTATGTTACACAGTAACATTTACTATTTNTTGTTTGATAATGATAAAATCCATAATCGAAAGGAATTGAATGTAAAAAAATCGTCCGTTTTTGTTCCATATGTAAACTGTAATCTCGGTAAGTCGTAATTACGAGTTGATTCATATTATAAACGCTGTTGGTTTCTTTGTTTATGTAATTAGGTAGATAAATTCTAAAGAGCGGACAACCAAGTGAAGTTTTTTGGTTTAGGGTTTTTGGTTTTGATTTATCCCTCAGTAAAAATGAGGGATAAATCAAATAAAATGAGGGATAAAAACCATCTTTTAACCGTCCTTTTAGAAGCAAAAACGATTTTTTAAATATGACCAGAAACTTTTTGACAAATAATTCTATGTTATCAACAGTGAGTCACTCTTTTTTATTTGTAAATGTGACTCGGGCGTCAAACAGATTCGTAATAAAATAAGGCATTGAAATGCATTCCTATACAGCAAAAAATGAAGTCATCCAAGGAATATCTTCAAATTCCTAAGCAACTTCATCATCTACAAATATCTAAAAGTATTTCCTTTTCCGAGGAAAAATGAAATACTGAAAAGAAGGCACAAAACATATACGTCCACAAAATCCATAAATTTTTCATAAAAAATGAACAGCATATGTCATGAACAACACGGAGAAGAAAAATCTCGTGAAAACTTGCTGTATAATCTCAGCAATCGGAGAGCAATATTGTATTGCGGAAAGTTTTATTTGAAATTGAAAAAAAATGACAAGTGTCTGACGGGTTTTTAAGTACCCAAACAAATACAAAGAATAAGGTAAACGCACCAGTGTTCGACCTCATCCAGTAATCGAACGAATTTATATATTTATCGTAGAACAAATGCTCAATGCAGTGAAATGCTACTTTTGTTTTTTTACGGCCTTTTGAGTCCTCTTTTTCGGGTCTCATTTCGGCACTCTATCCAACCCTATGCATGCAGCTGTAGATTCTACATTGTACTATCCCGGTACAGGCTGTTACTCAATTAGCAACCTCCCGCTCGCCGGAGCCTTCCGTTGAAAAATTCGGTCCTTTCGCACACTACACGCCCAAAAAACTTTAATAGAAAAACCTATCAAATTCGTTAGAAACTTCAATTGATTTTCTATTGAACTGTTCTATTAGTTTTTGGCCAATTCTATTAAAATGTTCAATAGAAAATATTCAGTAGAAAAAGTCAATAGAATCCAATTTTTCTGTATAACTTATTCTATTGAGATATTTTCTATAGAATTTCCTCGGCTCAAATTTTCTGTTTTTTCGTTTGATTTTCTGGATGAAAAGAAAAGAAAAATAGAATGAAAAAAACTTAGAAAATTTGAGTCGAGCAAATTCTATAGAAAATATATAAAAAAAATAAGGTATATAGAAAATCGAATTCTGTTGACTTTTTCCATTGAATGTTTTCTATTGAACATTTCAAACTAATAGAATGTTTAATAGAAATTTAGTAGAATTTTCTTACGAATTCGATAGGTTTTTATATTTAATTTCGTGCGTGTACACTTGCGTCTGGCCCACTCGGCTACCGACATCGGTATGGTACTTTTGTATTTTTTAAAAACCGGTATGAATAACGCTTAATTATTCTTTCGATCATTGGTATTTGACGACTTTTATTCGTTCGAACTCTGGACAGTTCACCTATCTGAACCAATTACTAAACCAATTACTAAAATTTTGTCTCACGCCAAATGGTCAACTCCTTTTCGGATCTAAATTTCGTCCAAAGTAATCAAATATTTTCTTAAATTTATTTAAGCATTTTAAACCATTTGGTTTACTCTGCTAAAGTAATCAAATATTCGATTAAATTTCAGCCTTTGCGACCAAATGTCTTCAATCCAGAGGACCCCAGAAGAGAATATACTGATGAAAGAAATGTCGAAGTGACATACTACGGAGAAAGCGAAACCGAAGGCGAAAACGCTGAAGTATCATACGCCCGAGAAAAACGCATCAACGTAGGACCTTTCGGAGTGGCCTACGATACTAAAGAAAAACTTGATGCAGACAGATCATACGTTGAAGAAGATTACCCCCGAGAATTTCGCGTTCCGTTAGGACCTTTTGGAACTAGATTAGCTAAACGAGTGAACACCGTTTCACCATTTCGCTACTGAAATATATTACCATTAAATAATCTGTAGCGCTTTTTTGGAAAATTCCTTCTGAATGAACCTGAACATTAATAAATGAAGAGATGATTAATTGTTTCATCGATAATAAAGTCATTATTATAATTTCCGTCTATATATTCTATATGTTTTTACTCTTCTCTCACAAGCTTTACTCGAATGATTGAAAAAACTTCTGAGACGATTAGGTCCAGAATGTAATCAGATGTATGTGATCAGAAGAGGACATTTGTCCATTCAGATAATTTGACAGAGGTTCACATTCCTACTCATGTTGTCACTCGCTGATGTAATCAAATTATCGCCATAGTGAGATGAAGGTATTCTTGGGTTATTTTTTCTCCAGTAAAATTATTTCTGTGTATGTCCTAATTTTGTCATTTGACCTAACACTGTTAGAAAATTACTCTTGAAATTTCAAATAAAAAAACTTGGAATTTTTAGCAACACTAAATTTACATTACTTTTATCTCCATTTTGTTACTAAAAAATCAGGTACCTCTCTGAATATTCAATGAAATTCTCATTTCCCGGGCCATACGACAACGAAAATTATTGAAAATAATAAATATTCAAACGATTCGTTTACGGAATTTTCAATATACTGAAATTTCAATCAAATTTAATGTTCAATTTTCATAATAATGTCTAAAATTCAAACTATCCGTGAAATATTAATGATAGCTCACCATGAAAAACTAAATTTTATTGAATTTTCAAGATGAATGTGAACTTTCATGTATAATGTGATCTTCAATCGAATTAAACCCCACAACATTGAGAAGGTAATTGCAACCGTTATTGGAAATTCAACAAATTCCTAATAGTGTAGGTTCCCAGCAAACAGTATGTCGACCATTTGTCGACAAATTGCCGGTGCCCAATTAAATTTTAGATGGCACTGCCAAAAATGGTTTGCTGGGTTAAGGTTTTTGGGGAGGGGGATCCACCAAATCTTACAATGTGTCTACATAAGGTACTAAAATGGGTAAAAATTGTCTTACCTAATGTATGAACAGCTCCAAAGTTCCAACATAAAGTCCAAATCCAAGAATTAAACGAAGAGTTGTTTGTTTCATAATTAGCATTATTTCAAATATTTGGCAATTGCTAGCTGTAATAAATAAAATCACTTGTAATCATGCAATCACAAATTACGGTAAGCATTGCTGCAATGACGTGTCATCGATCACATTTTGTAATCAGCGTATCACTCTATTCGAATGTGAATAACCCCTAGAACTTGACCCTTAACTCCAAACGCCATTAAAAGTCGTTTGGCCCTCAAGACCGTTCGACCCTCAACTAAAAACAAAGAAAAGTGTTCCGAACTGTACAAAGTTATCCTTTTTCTGGTGTTTCATTTGCCCCTGTCCCCTACACGAACGGTTGTTGGCGATTCAAAAAAACACCATTCATTGCACGGTCGATAAAGTCACTCATCAGCAGTACTGCCGTACCACCCACCGGTTCCCTGCAGTTCACGTGGTGATGCATTTCTGCGATTTCAAAAACACTTTTGTAACGAAAAATGCCTGTGGATCAAAGACGAATCAATGGACCCGAGGTGACAGTGCCCTATCAACTGTACGTGGATGCCTCATCGAAGAGTTTTGAGAAACAATTAGATTTATTGAAGAAGCGAGAGGATGGACGGGCACACGGTGAAGTCAGGAAGATGTGTAGGTTATGTTTTTGTTTTCTCCTTATCCTTCAAACGTTCTATCCATTAACAATTTTTTATCTAGTATCCATGCTCATTATTACAATGATAGAAAATAACTTAAACTTCTTTTCGAATGAATTTATTCACAGTCAATCTCGCTTAAAATAGCTCTACCCTTACGGTAAATTCAAAGATTATTGATAACGGCAAAATTATTGCAGAAAACTCGATTAGATTCGGAATTCTAATTTTTTTCTCAATTTAATTATCGTTTTGGTTTTTCAAAGAAGAAATATTTAAAAATCAGAATTTAACCCAGTGTCTTATGTGAAAATCAACATTTCCATTGTAATTAAAGATTAAAATCTACATTTTTTTTCATGAGATGTGAAAAAATCAAGAATTTTTTTGACACAAAAAATAATCCACCGTTTTGCAAACAAGTTTTATTATTCATTTATAAGAGGGAACTGTTTGAAAAAATATCAATATTTTGCGAAATTTAATTTAAATAATACTTAATGGGTATGAATTTTTTCAAATTTTTTCCATGCAATTTAGTTGAAAAATTTAAAAACTGTAAATATTCAAAAGTACAGCGTAGCCCGGCTGAAGGGTAAAGCTACTTCAAATATTGTTGTGAAACCAAAAGAGAAATGATAGAACATAATCCTTTGGATTTGACAGTTTAGATAATAATATAGGAGTGAGCAGGGCATAATAGATACTTTAAAATGTTTTTTAATATGGGAGGGTGGGGCAGAATGAAACAGCCGAAAAACGACTGACGCAATTCGAGCATCCATTAACAATTATTTCTCTAGTATCCACGCTCATTCTTACAATGATAATAATAACTTCAACTTCTTCTCGAATGAATTTATTCACAGTCAATCTCTCTTAAAATAGCTCTACCCTTACGGTAAATTCAAAGATTATTGATAACGGCAAAATTATTGCAGAAAACTCGATTAGATTCGGAATTCTAATTTTTTTCTCAATTTAATTATCGTTTTGGTTTTTCAAAGAAGAAATATTTAAAAATCAGGATTTAACCCAGTGTCTTATGTGAAAATCAACATTTCCATTGTAATTAAAGATTAAAATCTACATTTTTTTTCATGAGATGTGAAAAAATCAAGAATTTTTTTGACACAAAAAATAATCCACCGTTTTGCAAACAAGTTTTATTATTCATTTATAAGAGGGAACTGTTTGAAAAAATATCAATATTTTGCGAAATTTAATTTAAATAATACTGAATGGGTATGAATTTTTTCAAATTTTTTCCATGCAATTTAGTTGAAAAATTTAAAAACTGAAAATATTCAAAAGTACAGCGTAGCCCGGCTGAAGGGTGAAGCTACTTCAAATATTGTTGTGAAACCAAAAGAGAAATGATAGAACATAATCCTTTGGATTTGACAGTTGAGATAATAATATAGGAGTGAGCAGGGCAAAATAGATGCTTTAAAATGTTTTTTAATATAGGAGAGTGGGGCAGAATGAAACAGCCGAAAAACGACTGACGCAATTCGAGCAAAAAAAAAAAGTTAAATCAACTTTAGTTTATTAAATCTCTTTATTGTTGGGCGTACTGATGAGAATAATAATTTTTATTCGTCTTGTAATTTAATTAATTACAATTCAATTGATTAGATTAGGTCGATTACACTGTTTTTTTCATTCGATTGAAATTCAGTATCACATTTTCCTTTTTCCTCCTCTGGATCTACCCCTAGGCCTTCCTCTGGACTTTGGATTTTGGTGTTTCATTTTCTTTTCAATTAATCCATTGACAAAATCTTCTCCCGTGAAAACTTCTCAATAATTTTCCATTCTACTGAAAGGAAAATTATTCTAATTATTATTCTTATTATTGTTCTAATCAGGACTCCAGTAATAAACAAATGTTAAGAAACAAAAGTTAATAAAAAAATAATTGATGAAAAAAATTTTTTTTTTGCTTGAATTGCATCAAACAGTCGTATTTTCGACTGTTTCATTTCGTTCTACTCTCCCCTATTAATGAATTATTGAATTATTAAGGAAAAGAGATTTTTTTCCATGGAAAGTACTCTTTTGAGATGAGTTTGAACTGAGCTCAATTGATTAATTTGATTCTGAGTTTTGAGCATTGACAAAAAATCCCTTCTGTTCAAAATCACCCTCCCGTTTTCCTCATGACTGAGTGATTTTACAGATGATCATCAGAATCATGTAATATGTGAACACCTACTTTTTCAACAATTCCCGATTCCATTTACTAAATCATTATCTAGCAATATATTTTTCATCCCGCTGTGACGAAAAGTGAACTTTTCGGCACGCTCCGCGTGCCTAAAAGTCTAATTTCCGCCACATTGTGATGAAAAATATTTTATGTCGCGCCGTGCAATAAGTCGAGTTTATCGCACGCTGCGCTTCGCGCAGCCTGCTCAAAACTCGACTTCTGCACGACTTGACATAAAATATTATAGAGCACTCGGTCATAAATTTCGTTTTCAACGAATGTTTAGTTTACAGGCCGAGCCGAAGGCGAGGTCTGTACTCACATTCGTTGAAAACGAAATTTGTGCCCTTGTACTCTAATGTACCAGTTCGTAACTCGTGAAAAAATATTTTTTAGCTCGTGGGATTATATCACTCGCCTTCGGCTCGTGATATAAACCTCCCACTCGCCAAAAAACACTTTTTTGCACTCGTTACGAAATATACTATAAATTAGTTTTTTGTTTGACTCAGTTTTTTGCTTCCGAATGGAAGCATCGAAATCGTTCAATTTTTTAATTTTGCTTAGACATACTGCAGAATGGTCTGAAACGTAAAAATATAAACCTCAATAAATCCTTTTTTCGACCGCTAGAGTAATAGTTTCTGCGACGGTTTTGGGCCATAGTCGGTCAGATGCGGGTGAAAACAATAAAAAATAATCAAAACAACTCCATTATGTTGATAAATTGCACAACGTTTCAAGTGCTCAAGGCACTTCTCTTCAGGTGCTTCATTTATTTAATCTTAATAACACGCGTTATGAATTAAGATTAAATAAATGAAGCACCTGAAGAGGAGTACCTTGAGCACTTGAAACGTTGTGCAATTTGTCAACATAATAGAGTTATTTTGATTATTTTTTATTGTTTTCACCCGCATCTGACCGACTATGGCCCAAAACCGTCATAGAAAGTAAAAATATGAAGTTTGATGACCATGTGTGTATGTGAGGTTGTCCACCTGGTGGTACCCGCACTTTTAGAAAATCGAAGGAATAGAGGACTAAAATAATTCAAAAAAATACCTGTAATCTAACAAAAAAATTAGTTAGATTATAAGTATTAATAAGGACTAACTCTGTACTCAAATTCAGCCCAATCTACCTAGCCATTTCTGAGGAATCAGAATTAATTTTTAAATAGTTTTTCACAAATAACCCAAAAACTACCCAACCGATTTAAATTGTTTTTATTTCAAAATATTAGTCTGAGCGCCTTCTATCTCAACAAATGTAAATATTAAATTATACCTGTTCATTCAAAGTTTTCGAGATGTTTCAATTTTTCGTTTTTTCAGTCGTCAAGACTGGTGTTATCAGTCAAGCCAAGGGCTCAACCTACATCGAAGTAGGCACGACAAAAGTGGTTTGCTCTGTATTTGATCCCCGAGAAATTCCAAACAAAATGGGCTACAGTCTCCAGGGGAATCTCTACTGTGAATTCAAATTCGCATCATTCTCATGTAGGAAGAGAAAAATCCATCAACAAGACTCGGAAGAGAAAGAGTACAGTTTAATTATGCAGAGAGCATTGGAGCCTGCTGTTTGCAGGGTAACAATCTTATAACTTTAAATTTTTTAACTCCTAAAGAATATTATCCGTGTGACCATGTACTCAATTTAATCAGTAATTGGGGGAAAATTTTCCAGCATGAATTTCCAAACTTCCAAGTGGACATCTACGCCTTAGTATTGGATAACGGTGGCTCCTGTTTACCTGCTGCAATAACTGCTGCCAGTCTGGCCCTGGCCAACGCTAGCATTCCAATGTTTGGACTTGTAGCAGCTGTTTCTGCAGTAATTATTATTTTTTTTCAAGTCAAGGCCTTCCTGCTATTATTTTGTGGAAATTTCTGAAACTGACATGTTTAGAGATCAATATTAACTAACATTTTACTGCTAACTATTGTTGATTGGAATGTGTGATGCACTTCTACTAGAGTTCAAGGAATTTCGTAATTGAAAGGGTAAAATTTGAAGGAAAACTCTTCGTTAAATATATTCGTGAATTACCAATTAAGGCCCGGGTGGATTATCTTTCGAAACTTATCTCGATTGTTTTTCCATCTTCATAATGTAAAATATATCACAATTTCCATTGGATTTTACATCACGCAGGAGTCCCTAGAAATTATGATTGTACAATAAAAAAAAAGAAAAAAATTGAACATTTTCGAAGAGCGTCTTTAATGAAAATTAAGAAATAAGTCCGATAGAGAGGAAATAGTGAATGGATAATTTATTATGGCAACTAACGATCTGACAGCCATTGACTACTGACGACCCAATAGCGATTAGATACATCAAATTATTAATTTGCAATTTCCTCCCTATTGGGGTTATTTCCCAATATTATTCAAAAATGCTGTTTGAGAATGTTCAACTTTTTTTCGACGTTTTTTTGATTGTGCAATCATTATTTTTGGAGACTCCAGGGCTATGTAAAACTGAACAGCAATTGGTGATCATTTCAGATTATCAAAATAAAAAAAACAACCAAGATCACGTTCGAAAGATAATCCACCCGAGTCTTAATGGAAAATTTGGGACTGAATATTCAGGTTTAGATAAAAAATTCTCATAAATTGGGCAATTCTCGCCTTCCTTCTGCTTAAAATTTTGGAAATCCTATCAGTATAAAATTATTCCGTCCATTTGAATGTCCGACCATAAAAATTCCCTTCTCTCAGTTCATCACAAATTTATCACAAATTTTTTGAAACTGCTAATCTATTGTTGGAACAAAAAATTCTCATCTCAGAATAGTTTTTAAATGATTAGCACTAGATTTTATTTTTTTGGTAATTTATTCAATTTTTGTTGTATATTTATTCGATTCACCGAACTGATAAATGTTCGGAAAAATGATCAAAAATTTTGATAAATATTGACATTTAAGATAATCTAGATTTGAGCCCTCAAAAATTATGATTGATATCTAATTTCCATAAAAGTTTCCGAAACTTCTAGAGGAATTAACAAGTGGAAAAAATTATTCGAAAATCTAGTGACTCTCAGGATGAAGATCTATTGTTCGACTGATCATTCATACAGACGTTTCCAAAGAACATTTCTTTTCAAAACTGTTCAAACTTCAAATAAACAAATCCCACAGTCTCATAATCTTATTCAAGAAATATTTACGAAAATACGAGCTCTAGAGTCAACTGTCAAAAGGGTTTTTTGAAAATGTATAAAATTCTCTACAGAAAAGTGCCTGTGGAAATTCCGTCAATTTGCTTCTAAATATATTTCCAAAATGATCTACAAATCCACCTATTTTTTTCTCCCCGATTTACTCCACGACATTATGACTGAAATAATCTGAAACAATTTCTAATGGATAATAATTTTTCAGGGAATTTATTCAGACACAATATTCCTCGATCCAACTACCGAAGAGGAGGCCCTCTGCAGCACAGGTCCACCCCAAACTGATAAATCAAAGAATCATGGAATAATTATGCAAGCCTGTCTACCCCAACACGATCAAGTCGCTGAGCTGCACTTCGTTGGAGACATTGATGTATCCTCAATAGCACCTGTTCTAGAAACTCTAACCACAGCCTCTAAAGACATTTCCCTCGTCGTACAGCAGAGATTAGTGAAATCTGTTATCAAAACACTGAAAGAGAAAGAAAGAGAAAAGGAAAATGAAATAAAAACGGAAATAAACTAGTTTTTTTATATGCAGAAAACCCATGTAACTGTTTATTGTTATCAGCCTCCACCCCCCCCCCCCCCCCNTGCCCCTTGAATCAGGTATTATATCATTGACTTAATTATTGTAAAAAAATGGATTTTTGGTGAATTAGTCCTCGGGCTTCTCTGGAGGCGGTCCGCAGGGCTGCAGCATCTTCTCCATCAGGTTGAACCTCACCCTGGCTTTAGTCTCATTCTCTGCAATCGCAAAGAAATTCAGGAGATCGTAGTGGCCCATGTAGGAGCTGCAGGAATCCCTGTGCTGATTCACCAACCACTCGAATTTTGTTGTGTCTGCGTGGCCTGTACCAATGTATTTAGACTGGAGATGCTCCAGCTGACTGTGAATATTGTATCGTTCACCCATTTTCAGTCTGGAAAACAAAACGCAATAATAAATTCATTTATTTAGGGGAGAGTGAGGCAAAATGAAACAGTCGAAAAACGACTTTTTGACGCAATTCAAGCCAAAAAATTGTATTTACCACTTTTTTTATTAAGGGGAGACTACTATGAGTTTGAAAGGTCGTGGGTTATTGAAGTGAGATTTCCCATGCATTGAAGATCGATTATATATGTCTAAAAGTGAATAATTAGTGCAACAAAATTAATTGTTTATTGTTCGTTTGCCCCGCAGACGCTTAAAATGTTAAAAATAGTCCGGGGCCTCCAATTTTTGGGCTAGAGAGGATTTTTCTTTCGAAATTTGTTGAAAAATATGGACAACAACAATTACGAATTTGAAGGATTCTCAAAATTTAGCTTGCAGTCTCGACTTCTACATTCTACCAATTTTGATACATAAATGGTTTTCCTGACCGTCCCCCGATGCAAACAACGAGTTATTCAGAATCTTTTCTGCAAAAATCAGCTCCAAATAACACGTGGGAGGTTGCTTTTTGTGTTCATATAGCAAAGCTATTCAAAGTCACCATTCAATGTATTCAGAACATTTTTTGAGTTATCGTGGTACAATCGATTCTTGAAGAAGTTCGAAAATTCTAAAAATGAATATAGGAATTAAATCTTAATTAGTATTGATGGATAAGACTCAACAACACCTACACTTCAACACAAAAAAAATGATTAAATTCCACCGATTCATTAGCGAACAATTAAAGAAAAACTTGGTTACATACATACTCCCATAAATACGAACAAAAAAAGAATAAAATACAAAATAAAATTAATAAAAAATCTAATCGTAATTAACAAACGAAAATGAAAACAAACACTTCTACTGATATAGGCGAGGTTGGGGTAAAACGAACACTTTTGACTTTTTTTTTAAATGTTAATGAGGGGTTGAAATGTTGATACAGTTTAATAATTTTTCTTTCAATAAAAATAACAATTCTTTCCCTTTGTGGCAAGCCTAAACTGAGCTCAATTGATAAATTTGTTTCTGAGTTATGAATAATTTTAAAAAAGTCTAGTGTCCATTTTACCCCACCCTCCCCTAACGAATCAAAAAAGTGTCCACCTAGCTTAACAAATTAAATTTATGCAAGATTAGCAACATTGTCAATTGAAAAATCTCGATGTACAAAGTTTGCTCGCCCTTGAGGGATTTTATGTGTCCCAGGGCATCAATAAAAACTATAATAATAATAGTAATAATAATAATAATAATAATAATAGCTCGATGTAAACAATGCATTTTCGGAATTTTAGGGTCATAATGGTGTGAAATAACACAAAAAATCAAAAACTTAAATTTGAACGATTACAAAACTTTCATTCAGAAGCAAAAAGATGAAAAATTCTATGAAACTAGACATTAAAAAGAACGAGAAAATCACTTAATAAATGGAATCTTCTCAATTTCCTCAATTTCGCAAATAAAAGTAGATAAAAATGAACAAAAACAAAACAAAATAGTTTTGTTTATAGGCTCATAACCTCAATCTGCTCCAAAAGACTCTCTCCTCAGAATACAATCAAAGCAATTGGAGAAAAATTCACTTGCCCTCAAAAACAATGAAGCAATCTTCTCCTTAAACTCCTGCAATTATCTCAATAATATTCCTCGGGATGTAAGTAAACTCAGGGCAATAGCTTTTTCGGAGCAATCAGTCACCAAGAATCGACCAAGGCCACGGACTGTCCCCCTGTCGTCACTCTTATCAACCAAAAGTTACTCTGTCCCTCTCACGAAGTTGAGGTTACACAATTTTTTGCCACTGAGAGTCCGGCTTTTGAAATTTTTACTTGCAACGTACATACGTACCTATAAGTTCGCCTCGAAAGTGCATAGCCTACACACCTTTTTGGTTTTTCGACAAATCACAATTAAGCAATATAACGTCGTGGCCTGGCGCCTGACGAATAAAAATAGCTACAACTCGAGGTTATAATCGAGTTATCTCGTGACATTTGGATTATTATTTCTATCAATTCGTTCTGCCGTGGGATGTGTCAAAACCGGCGCTAATACAAGATGAGATTTTTTTTCACCCTGTTTGGTAATGTATTCCGCTTTTTGCGATATTTATTGCCAGTATTTTAATTCATTTTACTCGGGCGAAGGGTCAGAGGGGAATTAATGACAGGCGCAGTGTCAGAATTACTTCGAAATTCTGCAAAAAATGTTAAATTTCTGGTTTTATAATTTTTTTTAAAAGAACCTATGTCGAAAGGTGTTTGTGTCAATGCGCTCATGATGTAGATAACGCGGATGAAATACAATTCCTGTGCATGATGAAAAAATCCTGTGAGAATACGTTAGAACGTAATAATTCAACTTTGACGTTTGGAAATTATTTATTGATCGTGGTTGGAGGGTTTCATGAGGAAATGTCAAAGGAGCTTTTGTGTGGATCAGAGAATTTTCTATTAAAAAATAATTTTTATACCATTTTTTATCGAGATCGACGATAATTCTATAAATAATAAAATGAGGCATTAATTTTCAATCCATTAAAAAATGTTGTATTTCTGAGTTTTGATGTATTTTAAGAAGACAAAAGACCGATAAACGTTTCTCTTAATGCGTAGATCATCCATATAATATGAATGGATGCACAACACGGACGAAAAAATTTAACAATTTAATAGAAAAACCTATCGACTTCGTTAGAAAATTCTATTGAATTTCTATTGAACTGTTCTATTAGGTTTTAGCCGATTCTATTGAAATGTTCAATAGAAAATATTCAGTAGAAAAAGTCAATAGAATTCAATTTTTCTATATAACTTATTCTGTTGAGATATTTTCTATAGAATTTTCTCGGCTCAAATTTTCTAAGTTTTTTCGTTTAATTTTCTTGATGAGAAGAAAAGAAAATTAGAATGAAAAAAACTTAGAAAATTTGAGTCGAGCAAATTCTATAGAAAATATATGAAAAGAATAAGTTATATAGAAAAATCGAATTCTGTTAACTTTTTCTATTGAATTTTTCTATTGAACATGTCAATAGAATCAGCCAAAAACTAATAGAATGTTTAATAGAAATTCAATAGAATTTTCTAACGAAGTCGATAGGTTTTTCTATTAAATCTTTTCGTGTGTGAATTCACGTGCACGAAATAATGAGGTGAAAATGCATTGAGACACAATAATTCAACTTCGACATTTGTAAAGTGTCATTAATCTCGGTTTACAGGTTTCATGAGGAAATTTCAAGACAGCTTTTTAATGAATGCTACCAAAATGAGGGATTAATTCCCAATTCTTGAAAGAAAATTGTTTTTTTCCAATTCCAATTTCCAAAGATGATGATAATCAAAAACGAATACATGTTTGCATCAATGCACATAACATGCATGGAATATAATTAATGCGCATGATGAAAAAGTCCTGTAAAAATACGTTAGAACGTAGTAATTCAACTTTGACGTGTCGAAATTGTCTATTGATCTCGGTTGGAGGGTTTCATGAGGAAATTTCAAAAAAGCTTTTGTGTAGATGAAAGAATTTTCTGTTAAAAAATAATTTTTTATGGCATTTTTTATCGAGATCGACGATAATTCTATAATTAACTAAATGATGTATTCATTTCCAATTCATTAAAAAGTGTTGTATTTCTGAGTTTTGATGTATTTTAAGAAGGCCGAAAACCGATAAACGTTTCTCTTAATGCGTAGATCATGCCTATAATATGAATGGATGGATACACAATTCACGTGCACGAAATAATCAGGTGAAAATGTATTCAGACACAATGGTTCAACTTCGACATTTGTGAACTATCATTGATCTCGGTTTAAAGATTCCATCATGAAAAGATGTCAAGGCACGTTTTTGGCAAATGCGAGAATTTTCAAAAAAAAAGGTTTTATGGCATTTTTTTCGAGATTCGGAATAATTTTCTAACTAGCAAAATGAGGGATTAATTCCCAATTCTTGGAGCAGTATTATATTTTTGCATTTTTATATTTTTCAAGATGATGATGATGATGATGATCGAAAACCAATACTGTTTGTAGCAATGCTCATATACATACATACCGTGGTTGGAATGCAATTCACGTGCGTGATGAACGAATTCAATGAGAATTCGTTGAGCCACAGTAATTTGACTTTGACGTTTATTAATTATCCCTTAATCTCGGTTTGCGAATTTCAAGAGGGAATGAAGAAGAAATCAAAATTAATAAAATCATTTATGAAACAAAAGTTTCTTTTTTTTATTATTATGCAACAAAAATCTTATGGTATTCTGTTGCAATATCTCTGAATCTAAAAATCGTTCTATAAAATTATGAAACGATATCAAGAGTCTTGGACTTTTGTCAATCTTGATAAACAAAAAATAAAAATCGACTATTGTATTCCATACTGTTACAATTAAGTTGTAAGACGTTTGTTTATTGTTTTTTGTTTATTGTTTTTAATTTTAGAGATGTAAACATACGGTAGAAAAGACTTAGACACTTGAAAAATGGGATCACTTTTGAGACGCAGTTTACATCTGGCAGTGAACAAGATATTGAGAACATACAAGCCATTGGCATTGAAGAGGCTCCAACAGACGCATGCTGCATTGAGTTCCATTAATGAGACACAGCAGGTAATTATTGACGATTTATTTCTAGGTGGTCGGAATTATTTGATTCTTGCTTCCGAATGGAAGCTTTATAATTGTTCAAATTTAGGTTTTGAATCTTTTATGTTATATCAAGTCATTATGATCCAAAAAGTCGAAAAATATAATTTTTAGACCGTATCTGTATGTGTGTGTGTTTATATGTGACCAAGTTTTCCATTAATTGTTTACTAATGAATCGATGGAATTTAATCATTATTCTTCTCCAAATGTAGGTATTATTGAGTCTTATCCGTCGATATTAATAAAAATTTAATTCCTATATTAATTTTGAGAATTTTCGGATTTTTAAAAATCAGTTGTGCCATAATAACTCAAAAAAATATATTCAGCATTAATTGATTCATTGATGATGACTTAAAAAAAAAATTTCGTTGTTCTTTTGATCGAGTTGGAAGATGAAGGCGATAGGAATAATCGTTGTTTTGATTTTATAGAAAAATTTGAAAAATGTCGTATTTTTCGAAAATGAGAAATCCAGAGATATCTGTGGATATTATGCTTCAAATTAATTCAATCATTACTTAAAAGATTCAGTTCAGTGTCACTCTGTTGAAGTTAGAAGATCATTACGACATTTCTATCCGTTAGGTTGATTTTTATGATGAAAATGAACTTTCACGTATGAAAATATTCAATAGAAAAACTTTGCGAATTCGCAAGAAAATTCTATTAGAATTCTCTAGAAATTCTATTGGAATTCTATTAGATTTTTCGGGAATTCTCGTTAAAATTCTATTTTTTTTGCGGTGATTCTATGAGATATTTGATAAGAAAAAGTCAATAGATTTCGATTTTTCTATATGAATTTTCTCTTGGAATTTTTTCTATAAAAAGGCTTGGATTTTCATAGAAATCAGTTAGAAAATTTCAAGCTATAATTGAGTTCATTTGAAGCATAATATCTCAAAATATCCCCGGCATTTCAGTTTAAAAAAATACAAAAATTTTGCAAATTTGCAAACACAAAAAATCCGCATCTTAAATTTAAATAATTACAAAGCTTCATTTCGGGAGCGATAGTAAAAGATTAAAACAAGGAATAATGTCATCACTGCTGTCTATTTTTCTTTTACTGATCTCCTATTCTTCATAAGTCACTAAATAAATTGCAACATTCAAGATTTAATCGCATGTAGTAATTATAGTAGAGGAACGTGGGTCTATAATTGAACTCAACGAGTCGCTAGAATAATACAAATACGCATTGCATTTCTTTTTTTCAGCCACCAAGCAACAATGTGATCCCAATATTCAGAAACGCTATAAGATTCGGAGATAAAACAGCTTTGAGAGATCTCCAGGGAGACTACACATATCGTGGCCTGTTCCTGAGTTCCAGACAATTTTCTAATGAATTATCTGATGTTCTCAATGGAAAACAACAGGAGAGGGTTGCTTTTCTACTCCCCAATGACGCGAGATATGTTATTGTACAATGGGCATGCTGGATGAGTGGCCAAATCGGTAAATGAATCATTATACATTCTTCATTCTGTTCTTGCAATCTCAGGTAGAGTTGATTGTTGAATTATCTTAGAAACGATTGCTGGTAAGAGTAATCAGAATACCGCAAATGGACTTTTTGGGGTCTTATAACCATCTCCTCTAAATTCAATAATTTCATATTATTTATAAAATGGTCTAGAGGAAATTTTGTACATAACGAAATTTATTACCTGGGCCACTGAATGCAGCAAGTCCCCCATCAGTCCTGAATTGTTACCTTGAAGATTCTAATGCTAAAGTCATAATAACAATTAAGATCCTTCTCTCATTTTCTACATAAACAATCAATTCGCTTCAGATTGCAACAACTTTGATTCACTACCCAGCTAATAATTTACCGGTAATTTTCCGGATCTTTACCGGTCTTGCTGGGGACTTTTAGGTAGTATCCGTAAAAATTGTTCCCTGGATAATAATAAAATCACTAATTAACTAATAATTTAATTTAAACTTTCATTTAGTGTTACAAAATGAAAAAAAAATTAGTGACTCCAATTCGACTCCAGATTATTGACTATTGAAATGAAAAAAATTGTGTACAACGTTACAGTTGAATTTCAATCTATTGCAATGAGATAAAGCCTGAGGTCAATATAAAATTAAAGATAAAAGTAAATTTATTAGTGAATTCAGAAAAAATGCCCTTGAATTTAAAGGACATAGATAAGTTTTCATAAGGACTATTTTTATTGAAGAGATCGTAAACTACAAAAATGATTCCCATGACATTTCCAATATTTCATGTCATCCCATATTATTACTCCACTCTTAATTTCAATTCTTACTCAA